TAAATGGTGCCATTGTTGACCACTCCAACATTAGACATGACAGTCCTGGGCTTTTTTTGCGAGATAGAGTTCATTTCACCCCTAGGGGAAATGATATTTTTTTAAAGTCACTAGCCAATTGCCTGAAAGACCATCTCCAAAGACTGTGAACTGCTAAAATGTCAGTATCACTGTTTTGGATTTGGCCTTTAGAGTATGTTTTCTAAGGCCCTTGCTAAGCCCAGACTGTCATGGCTAATGTTGAGTTAGATATTACATCTGTAGCCATAACACTGTTAACATGGCTGCTCTTCCTCTTCCCCACCCCCCCCCCTCTTCCCCCCAATGGACTCTGTAGCTCTCCAGGCCCATGCTGGGCATGGCTGTCTGTCAAACTTTTTTTTTTAATTTGTTATTATGTTTTTTGTTATTTTATTTGTTAAAATAATTCTGTAAATATTTAAAATAAATCACATTCATATTTTCACTTCTTTTGTCTACTGCTTACTGAAAATGTTAGCTATCACATCCAAATCTGACTATCAAATGAAAGGATAAGCTAACCATACAATACAGAAAACATTACACATTAAGGCTCAAATCTTTTCCCAAGCCATAGCAGTCTGAAAAGAGTCCCAAGTTTAAAAACACAAAATCTTGACAATGAATACTACCTTGTCATTTATCAGTGACAATGCAAACACCAAGAAGGTCTCCCCTAATCCCATGTATTTTGGCATCAAATATGTCATAAGCATACCATAGAATGTAATTATGAAATGCAATACCCACAATCCCTACAGGGTCGTAACATCACAGAAAATAATACCTTTTAGAGAGTTTCTAAATTGTTCAGTATGCAGATAATTATTTGTTTTACAATAGAAACATTTTTCTCAATAAATGTTCCCACATGTTGTGAGCATCAACTTTAAATCTTTTGTCAACAAATAAAAAACATCTTAATTTCCTTTACGACAACATTTTGTTTATAACACCACTACATTAACAATAAGCATAGGAAAATTATAAATGTATAATTTAAGATTGTGCTTTTACTCTATATTTAATCCGATCTATTTCACATTGAAAATGTACGACTTAAGTACACTAGAAAATAAATTAAAGATGTGCAACAACTGTATCAGTAATTAAAATGATATAACTTATGTACAGGGTTGGGAGGGCTACTTGCCAAAAACGCAACCAGTAACTTAATGTGAGTATCAAGATATAAAAGTAATGTACTGTAACCTGATAACTTTATTTTTCTTTTGGATTACCTCAATATCAAATGCAATGCAAATAAACACAGGAGAGAAGAAATATTAATATGATTTTTTTACTTAAATGTATAATATACATAAAGCTGATTCAGGCAGTAGGTGTATAGATTCACAATTAAAGTATTAGCCTACAGAACAGTACCGCTTCCAGAGAAGAGAGAACATCTGATCATTTTACAACAAACACTATATGCTCTTTTCAGGTTTTGAATAAGATTGTAATCCTGAGTTTCCCTATTATTAAAAAAAGTCAAACTAATCCGATTACATCTTTTCCTATGTAACTAAGGATTACACTTTCCTTTTTTTCTATACGATCTTGATTCGTGTTAGATATAATCCATTACTACCTAAGCCAATAAAAGTCATAATTTTTGGAAAATTGTCTCAAGTTATAAATTATGCCTTCAATCTCTTTCACGTGGGGAAGACATCACATTGGCCGAGGCGTTGCAACTTCCCTCAAGCGTCCTACATGAAAGAAAGATCACATGTTAAAAATGTGTGCACAGACTATTCAGTATGACCCGTCTTAGTTTAAAGCCCACTCACCACGACAAGGTGTAGGTCAGGGGGGGATGGGCACATAATGGGGGGGGAACACATCTTGTGTGTGTGTGTGTGTGTGTGTGTGTGTGTGTGTGTGTGTGTGTGTGTGTGTGTGTGTGTGTGTGTGTGTGTGTGTGTGTGAGAGAGACAGACAGCTAAACTAAGATGGAGGAAATTGCAGAGGGACATGGAGGGAGGTGTTACAAAGTTGACTAAATCATCCAAAATTCAATGAAAGTGGTGATCAGCAATTTTATATGTTCAAATGTCTACTGTGAAGGATATCATAAATCCTTAATGCAATCGAATGTAAAACAAAAAAGTTATGATTGATGAAAGTAGTCAATCGGTCAGATTTGACCCGAAGACAACAGGAGGGTTAATGCCATATTCACTTAATAACACATGAACAACTTTTACAAATATTTCTATATAGTCTGTGTTGGTAAATGTCATCTAGGTTGCACATTTCCTGCTGAAATACATGCATACCAAGTTACTGCGTGGCACTTTGGTTTTGATAAAACAGTGTAGTTCCACTATATAAACGTTACATTCATAATCAAACGAGACAATCTGCAAGATAATGAGCTATTTGTTGTTATTTTTAATGCTTGTCATTCACACGTTAATAAAATAAAATAAGTACCGATACATAGCAGAACAATTGTGGCGATGTTCAGCTTAATAAGCCTTATTCAACATAATTTATTTAGCTAATACTACAGCGGGCTGCAGGCGAACCAAGTCTGCGTTTCGCTGCATTCCTTGATCTCCAGTTATAATGCCGGACTCCGCCGCCGGCCGAAGCTAACGGAGCAGCCGGGACGCGCTAGCGAGCTAGCCCCCTGCGGCTCCGTTAGCTTCGGCCGGCGTGGACTCCGGCGGCCACCACTGGGATAATTGGGTCCCCTTTTAACGTTTGCTCCCGTTTAGCATTATGGGCGTCACAGCCATATACTATAAAAGGCTGAATCATAAACTAAACTGTATATATACACATGTATAAAGGGTTACGTCCTTAGCTGGCTAATAAGCTACATAATAAGCTACATAACAAGCTAAGCTAACAAGCACACAAACACCTGCTAACGGGATTAACATGTATAATATTATCATTTTACTCACCGAAAAAAGCTGAGAGTAGACTTCTTGGAAGGTCTGTTAGTACATTCAAGCGCACAGCACGACATTTTAATTGTCTGGTATTTGTAACAATATTCCCTAAAAGGCACAATCACCACGAACACGGCTAAAGGGTCAAGTACAGCAACTACAACTAACTAACGTTGTAGCCTAGCAGAGTGGACAAATTGCTGTTAGCTGACAGTGAGGCACGTACCTGTCCATCAAAGTGACCACGCCCTAATTTATGCAAAAACTTTAAGACCTAATATAAATAAAAGGGTCGCGTTAGAAAACAATTCACTCACAGATTCATAATCACGAAGGTGGAATCTAACTATATACATAATAAAATGTATTGGAGCCAGGGCTAGAAACGTTTTTTTTCTGCTGTGAAATTGGGCATTTTAACATTGGGGTCTATGGAAATTGCTCCTTTCTGCAGTCATCGCCTATCGGCCAATATATGAACTGCAGTTTGTGGCACTTCCGTATTGGCGTCCCGGCTCTTCCCCAGAGTTTGCCGCTTGATTGAGACACAGGGTCTCATTCTCAAGAGAGACCTGTTTATACCCAGAATCTGCACTTTTGGAACAGGAAGAGAAATAGAGGGATATGAGGCATGGCTTCATGTTTTTTATATATTTTTTATATATCTGAGACCTATGCTATTGCCTAAAAATAGCATGATAGGTGACCTTTAAGGACGGGGGGTTAGGTAAGACAGTGACGAACAACAACTATGGTTCATAGAGTAATGTCCATGCAGTAATGTCATGAAACATTTGCGTTTTAGGTATTTTATTGTTTTTTATTCACTAAAACAGTCATTGGATCGAGGTAATATAAACTGGCATGGCAATGTACAGTATTTTACTGAAGACACCATGGGATTTTAGAGAGGTAGTGTTTGTGTGAGTAAGCAAAGGTGTGTTTCGTAAACATGAGAATGCAAACACGGCAGCAGAGAGACAAAGGGAAGGAGGAGAGGAGCGGGTCAAATTTCACTGATCTGTCAGAGGTCTCAGAGAACAGAGGAGAAAGCTCAGAATATGTTGAGGAGTTGGACTCCAGACGAGAAGAGGAAATTAATAATGTTATCAAACAGGATGACATTTTGATTATGATCTCAGTGGTCAACTAGGTGCAGCAAGTAAAGTTATAAGACTTAAAGGGAGGGTAGGTAAGTTTGAGAAACCTGCTCGAGATACACTTTTTGTTATATTCCATGGAATGCTCTTAACATCCCGATAGCAATGAATATCTTAAGTGCTTTGACAAAAAATCCATAAAAAAAATTCATCTGTGGAAGCCGTAATACTGTAAAAAGTACGAACAATCATTTTAGCCGGCCCGGCTAAAATAACTGGATGGCCTACCTGCCTGTCAGCCTTCCATCTGTGCACAAACTTATCTCGTGCCCTCATTGGTCATGTGCGCGTTCGTGTGTGTTGGAGGAGGGGCTCTGTAAGGAAGTGGCAGATTTGTTCCGGCTGTGTATTTTCAAATTCTAGCGCACTCGAGCTGGTTTCTCAAACTTACCTACCCCACCTTTAAGTGTGTACTCAAGGTAGCAACCAACACTTCCCTCCCTGAGCCACACAAGAGTTTACATCCTGCTGCCCGGCCTCAAGTTTACCTACCCCACCTTTAAGTGACTCCTGAACTAAATTCACAAGCTACCCTGCAGCATACAAAGCCAATAAACTAGCTGCACCTTTACCAGCTTTGATAACACTTTAATGCTTCAATCATTAAAATCAAAACATATAATATATCTAATTCAGAAATGGACCAAGTTGCAGAATGAGTAGTTTTGTACGTTTACTTGAGTAACATTTTGATTGCAGGACTTTAACTTGTAACAGAGTATTCCTACACTCTGGTACTTGTACTTTTACTCAAGTACAAGATCTGAGTACTTCTCCCACCTCTGCTTCCTGCCTGTTTCTCCTGTTAGCATCTCCATAAAGGCCGTTTATTAAACCCATAACATAGCTTACCACTTTTACCTCTCTAGCTACCATTACAATTAAAACATAAATATTTTTGAATATTTACCAAACAGTTCTGGTGGGCCGTGACGCCATCGTTGGTGGATAACGGTCCTGTGATCTTCGTCTGTTCGGACCGCTGACAAAGTACACAGAGCAGCGTGTCATCCTCGTGCATGTCTCCAGACTCACTGCTAATAAAGTCGTTGTTTGTTTAAAGTAAATGTGTATTAATGTTTAGGCAGGTTTTAACTTTAACACACGTTAGTTCACAACCGTTGTTCAAAGCTACTTCCTCTCCTCTGTCGCCCGCCCGTCCCTGTAGTAGAGGGTTGCCAGGTATTGTTCGAAATATCCCCCTCATCGATGTGCCTAAAGTCCGCAGTTCAGTTCAATCTCTTTAAATATTAGTTAGAAATAATGAGATAGTAGGTCATAATAATGAGATAGTAAGTCTAAATAATGATATAGAAAGTCTAATAAATTAGATAGAAAGCCTAATTAATTAAATAGTAAGTCTATACAATGAGATGGTAAGTCTAAATAATGATACAGAATAGTAAGTCTAAATAATGTTATAGTAAGTCTAAATAATGATATAGTAAGTCATGATAATGAAATACTAAGTCATAATAATTAGATAGTCAGTCTAATTAATGAGATAGAAACTCTAATAAATGAGATAGAAAGCCTATAAAATTACATTACATGTCATTTGTTAGATGCTTTATCCAAAGCGACTTACCCCTAGATTCCACCGGGTCCGTCTGCGGCGCGTTACGGGCGCGTTACGGCTGCGCCGCGGTGCTCACGGCGATCGCGGCCACTCTAGTCAATGGGTGCTATTCCACCACACGCGGCGCGTTACGGCTCAGAAGCGTCCCAGAAGCGGCTCGGCGCAGGGCTCCTCTAAAATTAGGATCGAATCCTATTTTTGTCGCGGCGCAGCCGTAACGTAAGGTCGGGCAGGCAGGAAGTGGAACCTTCAGAGCATATATAGCACATATATATATATATATATATATACACACACACAAACTAATTGTGCAGACCCTATCCCTCCGTAGTCTTTCAAGTAGGAGGAGAAATTCCAGCGTTCTCCTCCGGTTTACAGGCACTGTGTAAATTATATATATAGAATAATTATGATGATGAATGCATTTTTTTACCACTAAAATACAGCAACACATCTTTGATTCATGTAGTTTATAACTGGAATATTACAGTTATTATTAACTTTGTCTGTACAAAGTAGCCTGTCCAGGAAATATGCCCAAATCAACAAAAACTGCGAGCCGGCAGGCAAGACGCTCCGCTTCTTAAATGCTTCTGAAACGCGCCTGGTAGGGTATGACGCCTATTTACTGAGATATAAGTCTAATTAATGAGATAGTAAGTCTAAATAATGTAGCGTAGTGAGGATTTTAGTATATGTTGAAAGAAGTACTCAGATTCTTCATGTGGAAATGCCAATACGGTGTCAAAATACTCTGCTAGTAAGAGTGGTGTATTTTAATTCTAACGTAGAAGTTTCATACGTATTATCATCACTTAATGGCAAAAATACTACATTTTATTAATGTAGGGTACTTCATTACATGGAACCACAGATTACAGTTGAATACTCAGGTTACAAACAAGTAAAACGATCAAACTTGGCAACCCTGTTGAACAGTTTCAGTTTCATTTCTGGTCCTAAAGACTTTTCCCGCAGCTGTGAGAGTCCTTTGTGAGTCATAATTAACTTCAGCCATAGAACAGATAACTGTTCTGCTATGAGGAGCAATAATGAGACATGGTGGTGTAATTTAGATTTTCTCCTCCCATTTCAGTAAAAGTAAGTACTACCACGATGAAGACAGAAGTGAAAGTCCTGCATTTAGGTTATAAGTATAATCAGGAAAATATACTTAACGTTTTAAAAGTAATCAATGGGGGAAATGGCCTTTGTGACTGTTTTACTATAACATATTACACAATCATATCATTATCCATTTATTTATTTAAAAGCAGAAGTGAAGTTTGTTGCAGTGAGTGTAATTTTAACCATTTTCTACAGGACTGCAGATCCTTTGTTTGGTTTGAGAAATGCGTCTCACAAAATTATTAAATATGAATTTAAATAATAAAAAAATGGAAAATTGGCAAATCCTTATATTTGAAAAACAGTGATCATAAAATGATTGTCATATTCACATTTAGAGTGACTTGACAATGATCAAAATAGTATCTGATAAATCAATTACAGTCAATCCACTAATTGATAAATCGACTAATAGTTTTAGTGCTGCTAGTATTTACTGTTGGGTAGTTTAATTGATAAGAAAACGTAACATTCAACATGCTCTTTTTATGTTTTGTATGAAAATAAAAGACTGAAAGGAAGTCCAAGAGACAGTGACTGATTCATCATGTCGTTTATGTAAAAAAAATTAGACAAGTCACAAAGTGACGCACCATACTTAATGTACAATATAGCATCTCAAATAACAAACATTTCATGACAGATGGAAAGTAATGAACAATATCTACATTCAGAACGTGATCCCTCCACGGGGAATAAGTTAGCGCTTTACAGTGACCTCTGATTATCCACATGGAGAAGCTTTTTTTAAACTGTAGCGTACATGAAAACTCACAGAGTTAGACCATGAGGCCGTAAGAGACCCCAAAAACACAAAGTCTGGGCAGCTGGTGGCAGAACAGGTTTCTAATGACAACAGAGGGACAGCCAACAGAGTAAAAAGACAGTAAGAGAAGCAGGAAAATTATAAAGTGACTAAATACAAGTGGGCTTTGTTGTTTCGTAAAAATAAATAAACATATATTAAAGGGCAAAGCAGAGGAGAGGGTGAGTAGACACTGAGAAAACATCCATTCAAGCTAAACCAGCTGCATTTATCTCTCTCCTGTTTTATTTAACAGTGGATTTATATACTCCTGCCTGGGTGAATTACTGCAGATTACACAAAGACAACTCTGTCATCTGCATATAATCACACATCTTTCCTCACTTGGGAACACACATGGATGCATTAACTGAGATCAGTCCTGCTGGCCCATTCATACATCATTACATTATGAACAGAGGGTTCTTCATTCGAAAAAAACAGACAGGAAGTGTATGACTGGAGGAAGATCCTTTGACTATACTTACTGTGTCTGTGATGTTTTGATATATTCAGTTTCTTCACCACACAATTCACGTCCCTAACATGTGCACTTTACAGTGTTAACACTAAGCTAAACGACATGCTGTGCGAATGTGAAAGAAAATGTTTGCTCATATCAGAAACTATAATTGATGCTGCGTATTATGAAATGCCATTACAATGTTGTGACCTTTTCCCAAACAAATGACTACAAAAAAGTTGGTTTCCTGTAAACAAGTATTTTTTAATATTAATAAATATATTGCAATAAACCAAAAGGAAAAATACGTTTTTCTTATGTATCATAATGCGTTAAGAGAATTGAGACATTTGATTTTTAAGGAACTAATCTCTTTTGTTCATTGTATTGCTCGATTTTAATGTGACAATATATATATATTTTTTGCTATTTCTGTAAAGCGACTTTGAGCACCTGTAAAAGCGCTTACAAAATAAATCTATTATTATTATTGATAAACCAGAGATTAAACTATCTTCACAGAAAGATCCAGTACAGTGAGTTTTTTTGTTTTAAACTAAAGGGCCATATTTAATCAATAACTGTAAGAAAAGTTAACAATGGAACAATTTACTTAATGTTGAAAATATCATAAAAAACATGTTGAAAAGTTATCAATATGGTGCATTTGTTTTACATTTATTAAGTGTGCACTCAAGGTAGCAACCAACACTTCCTTCCTTGAGCCACACAAGAGTTTACATCCTGCTGCCCGGCCTCAAGTTTCCCAGAAGCCCTCATCACTGTTATCACTTCAGTCATAGGGTAGTATAAAAGCTCATAATATAGGATGTCAAAAGAAATTCATGCTTTTAGCACTGGATGACTTATACCAACCATGTCATGAAGAATCCAAGCCCTGGCTCACTACTGGAAGCAGCGGAGCTCGGCAAATTTGTATGTAGAAAATACGATCAGAAAAAGTCTTGGTGTAGTATGTCGATTAATATCGACTCGGGTCATGAGTTATTTAACTTACAATGTTTGACTTGAGCAAACTTTCTCAAAGGGTTTAAAAAAGAAATACTCAACACGTGTCATGAAGACGATCAGCTTTACTCTGCAACAGTTGATGAATGTAACCCTGAACAAGACGACTGATTGAACATCAATAATGTAAACATGTCTGACTCCACAAATACTCAACCTCTAACTGTAGAACTATTCCAGCACTTCTGCGTTTGAACAACAGTTTGAACAATATCTAATCTAAGATAAATGCATCCATCCTTTTCACAGCAATGACATTATTAGAGGTAAAAACTCCAAAACTTACACATAGAGTTATATAAAAAACATCTTTGGACTACTTCTCTTCTTCGTGTACCTTTTGAGAAGCAACTTCTTATTCAAATTCAACAACCTCGGACATTCATAATATCGTATGTCTAATATATGTCAGCTTCACGTCATAAAAAGGATCAAACTTAAGTGCACATTTCTTTGCAAAATAGTTATTTTTACAATTTCAAAACTCTTGCAAACTTGGGTCAGTTGCTCGTGTTGGATGTGGAACTTCTTTATGATCATTTTTTTTTCCATTTTAATAAAAGGTTTTAAAATGAAACCCATTATTTGGTTCAATAAAAATGTATTTGGGTAGAATGAATTTCTGTGTAACGTGTTTTTGTAAAAAATCGAATTTGTTACTATTTTGTGAATTTATCGATGCTTATATTGATGCAGTTTTGTAGTTCCACATCCAGCCCTTTACCATTGTCTACAGTTAACTGTGATGTGTGTGTGACTGTGACAGCTGCTCCTCATCTCTCTTCAGCGCTGAGACGGCCTCCTCCATCGCTGCCGCTGCCTCCTTAAGCTCCCTTTGCTTCCCTTGTAACTCTGGAAAAACAACATGTTATCTTTTCATATTATGCCACAGAAAAAGGGGATCTACGCCAGTGTTGTAGTCAAGTCACCAATTCACGAGTCCAAGTCACTCTCGAGTCACCACTCTTCGAGTCCGAGTCCAAGTCCGAGTCACCAAGGGAGAGTCGTAGTCGAGTCCGAGTCCAAGTCACCCAAGGAGTGTCCGAGTCGAGTCCGAGTCCGAGTCATCATTACCTGTGTCCGAGTCCGAGCCCAAGTCCAAGTCACCCAAGGAGTGTCCGAGTCGAGTCCGAGTCATCATTACCTGTGTTCGAGTCCGAGTCCGAGTCACCCAAGGAGTGTCCGAGTCGAGTCTGAGTCCGAGTCATCATTACCTGTGTTCGAGTCCGAGTCCAAGTCCGAGTCACCTAAGAAGAGTCCAAGTGAAGTCCGAGTCACAAGTCTTCATGTATTAATCTTCGTGGATATATGTGTTGAAATGTAGCTGCTCCTCTACATTGCTTTTATCCTGTCATGTTATACTAATCTGTCTATTGAACTGTTGAGCCAGTTTGGCTACAATTCTTGTAATAGGTGCTATACAAATATAAAGCTTATTACTAATATTAATATTATTATTATTATATATAAATAAACTATGTTTAAAATTAGTTACCTTTTAGAGAAGTGATTATATTTGTATGCCAATATTTTCCTATGGTAAAGTTTTCGTTTTGCACTTTTATTTTGATAGTAATAAGATCGGGACTCTAATGGCGCATTTCCACCATGGCGCGGAGCGCGGTTTAAGCGTGCCGTGTCGTGCCCGTTTTTGGTTGCGCTTCCACTAGGCCTAGTTACGGCCCGGCCCGGCCCGGGGCCACTTTTTCACCTCTTTTCTGGCCCGACAAAATTGTGGTTCTATCGGGGCCAACAAACAGGGCTGAGTCGGGCTGAGTATGCTAAACTAGAGAGAGCATCGCTGGCAAGGGGGCTACAACTACAACAAGATGGACATATTTGACCGTGATTTAATTGTAATACACGTTTCAAAATGATGCCGAAGTAACAACATACTGATACCGGTTAGTAAAAACCATGAATTAATGCTTTGTCAAGTCTGCAGACAGACGGCAGGCGAAAAACCTTTTGAAATGCGTGTTTTCTAAATGGAGATTGGCTAAGCTAACGCAGTATATGCTCCGACCGTCCACACTCACAACAACGGCCTATACAGACATAAATAAAGCAGCGACTGTATTCACCATGACACAGGCAGTCTGTGGTTTGTACTTGTTTAACTTTTGTCGAGTTTCTGAACATATATAAGGAGCTGTGAGCTCTGAGTGCTAACAGCTAATGGCTGTGTTGTTTTTCTGGGGTTCTCATTGAAGATGACGTCACGGCTCCGCCTACACTGCGTTACTATAGTAACTACCCCAGTTCCTAAACTGTAATGGAAGCGCAGCATGAAGTGAGCCGGCCCTGTTAAGGCCCAACACGGCCAAGCAGTACCGAGCGTGGCCGAGGCCGACCGTGTGGTGGAAATGCGCCATTATTTTGAAGGAACTTTTACCGGTTAAATCGGTTTACTGATAAAGATTTAGCCCCAGAAAGCACATGGCTACTTAGCATGCAAAATGACGTCATTCTGCATGTTAAGTAGCCATGTGCTTTCGTGTTATCGGCTGAATCTTTATTTATTGATTAGATCACGTTACTCTGATGATAGTGTTCAAGACAGCCTATATGTCTGAACTCGATGTTTAGAGTAATGTGTTACGGAGCCTTCTCTTCAATATTGTTTCCACATAGAGCATTTTGCGCTGCTCTTTTCCAATGTGGAAGCAGAATGTGTGAAAGCATACAGCAAGATGCGGGGTGTGTCTCTAGACATCTTTAGACTGGAATAGCGGGGCCCAGTACGTGAACTCGCCTCGCAGCCGGTGCACACGCCAGGATAGAGGACATCAGACTCCATAGAAAACTTGCTCGAGTCCGAGTCCAAGTCGGAGCGTCAATGTACAAGTGGAGTCCGAGTCATCGTGGGGGGGAAAATTCACGAGTCCGAGTCTGAGTCCAAGTCCAAGTCAGCGTACGCGATAATTCACGAGTCCGAGTCCGAGTCCAAGTCATCGTGCGCGAGAATTCACGAGTCCAAGTCCGAGTCGCGTCAATCAGTGCGCGAGTTCGAGTCGAGTGACGAGTCCCGAAAATCGGCACTCGAGTCCGAGTCCAGGACTCGAGTACTCCATCTCTGATCTACGCCATCAGAAAGTCCTTGGGAAGTGCCTTCTTACAGACTGAATGACTGACAGACAGCTCATGGTCCGTCTCATGGCGAGGTCTATAACTGTGATTATTGTCCCTCTGCTTTACGGGATGTCTAAGGATCTAAACAGTATATTTTCAATTAAGTTATTTGTAAATAAGCAGTGTGCGTAATTGTCTGCACAAACTGTGCTGTTGTATTTGCTGTAAAGTGTCTTCTTTACTGTAGGGTATTTTTTATTATATGTACAGCACTTTGGCTCGACCAAAAATCGTTTAAAAATGTGCTATATAAATAAACCTTGATTTGATCTTCATTTCCTCCCACACACCTGTCTACAAGAAATTAGAGGTCATAGTCTTGTATGATGGAAAAAAGCCCAGTGTAGTATAATGTCAAAAGAAATCATAGCATGGTATGATGAAAATATAAAAAAAAAAGTTATAGTATGGTATGTTGAAGGAAATGTTATAGTAGACTATGTGGGAAATATCATAAAAAACATCATAGTAAAAAAGGCACAAAAAGTCATAGTATACTATTTCCAAAAAATGTCATACTATGAAAAAAAACGCAAAAGTAAAGTATGTAGAAAAAAAGGTTATAGTGTAGTATTTAAAAGAATGTCATAGTATAGCATGTTAAAAATGTATGAAAAAACGTATAGCATAAATAAAGTTTGTCTAAAAAGAAAAGTAATATGTGTATGTCTAAAATACCGGAAGAAAAGTATAGAATGTTAAAAAAATACACATAAAAGTTCTGGAATAGTATTTTCAAGTAAGGTTAGTATTTCACCTTCCTGCTGATTGCCCACAAGCTCTAACAGTTTCCCAGAAGCCCTCATCACTGTTAACGCCAGATCATAATCTGTAGGAAGAAGAGAGAGACCTTAATAAAAGTGTTTGAGACATAAACAACACCTGCAGAGTGTCCCGTGTCTCTCACCCTCCTGGCTGGCCTGCTCTGCCTGAATCCTTTCGCAGACGTCGCTCATCTCCTTATAGAAACCTCTGAAGATGTTCTTCGTGCAGCCGGCAGCGTTACAGCTCCTCCAGAACCTGCTGGAGGCCCCGCTGGGGGAGGGGTCAGGAGGAGGGGCATCCGGAGGGGGAGGGGCCACTGGAGGGGGAGGGGCCACGAGAGAGGGAGGGGCCACAGGAGGGGAACAGGAAGTGGGGAGGGTCACACAGGCTGAGCTGCCAGCATCAGTGAGAGCAGAGGGAGAGGGTCCAGCGGTGTGTGGATCAGATGGACTGTCGACAGGACTCCACTCAGGACTGACGGCACACATTACACAGCAACACAACTCCAGTTCCTGATTCATGTGCAGACTTCCTGCAACAACAGCACCTTCCTCCGGTCACTAGACATGTCCTATACTGTTTTACACATAGTATTAACCAAAAAAAAAAGTCTCATTGACTCTTTGACCGGCAAGCAGTATAACAGTTGACATTAACAAACTAAATCTAGTGCGAGAGGTTAATCTCATTCATTTGGATGTTTGCTTTGTAAAGTTGAAAGCTTATCAAGCATGTATTATATCACACAAGAAATAATAATAATAATTCGACATTCAATGCAAGTGTTAACAAAAGTGTGAACTGCCATATTCTGGGATGCTATGCTGGCCAACTTTCTTTGCAAACATTTTATGCAGGTAATTATACACAATATTCTAATATTAAAGATTTTTGCTGCAAAATATGCATTTAATTTGTAAGTGGAAAAAGGTCTAAATGGACAAATGCACTACTTGGTTCACGATTAGTTTTTTTGCTCATTAACTGAACTGGTTAGTGTTTTTTTAAAGGTATTTTTTGGGGCCATAGAGGGCTCTATTAGAGATTCTATAGAGTTGAAAGGGGGAGATGGAGGGGAAGACATTGCCTGAATGTTAGGCCGGCTTACTCGGCAGCAGTTTACGCATAACGGGCACCAGCACTAACCACTGATCTATCTGGCGGCCCCTGGCTAGTGTTTTTAATCTTGTAGGGATGTGAACAATATTTTAAAAAACTGTACTACAAAAATCCTAGCCAAATTAATAATTAAGTGCCATTAATTCATGCCAAAGTGTCCTAACTTAGGCAGCATTAGGCATAGAATAAGAACCTGGTCTCATGTCAGCAAGTAACAGTGCTCCAGAGCAAAGAATTAAGTGCTTTATGTAATGTTGTTAAAAGTCCTCAGATGTATTTCTTGCTTACTTGCTCACTTTATAAACTCAATGAATGTTAAGACTTTATTCTGGTATATGTTAAAGGTGGGGCAGGTAAGTTTGAGAAACCGGCTCAAGATCGCTAGAATTTGAAAATACACAACCGGAGAAAATCTGCCACTTCCTTATAGAGCCCCTCCTCCAACACCAACACAGTCTCACGGCATTTCGTGTTATAGTCACGAAATTAATCTATTGATTCGTGTTCACCAACACGATTTCGCCATTTTTTTCGTGTCACACAGAACGATTTTTAAAAGCAATGTAAATAATAACAAATTAGAAGGAAAAACAGATTTTAAAAAATACAGATTTCAGTATTCTGACACAGAACGATTTTAGAAGCAATGCATTTATATTGGTAGTATGTTTCGTGCCTGCACCAAATAATAACAAATTAGAAGGAAAAACAAGATGACAAAAAATACAGATTTCAGTATTCTGAGGCTCTTTGCCCCATTTATTTCCTCGCGGACGGCAAAAAAAAACTCAGACATTATACAATTTAAAATAAAAGGGATAGGGTTAGGCTTAGGGTAAGATATTGAGTAAGAAAATGTGTTTATGAACCACACAGCTCTGGTCTTCCAAGACCCGACCGGACAAAAAGACGTGGTGCAGGCACGAAACATACTACCAATAGAAATACATTGCTTTTAAAATCGTTCTGTGTGACACGAAAAAAATGCGAAAATCGTGTTGGTGAACACGAATCAATAGATTAAATTAATTTCGTGACTAGAACACGAAATGCCGTGAGACTGGGTTGCCAACACACACGAACGCGCACATGACCAATGAGGGCACGAGATAAGTTTGTGCACAGATGGAAGGCTGACAGGCAGGTAGGCCATCCAGTCATTTTAGCCGGGTCGGCTAAAATGATTGGTCGTACTTTTTACAGTACTACGGCTTCCACAGATGAAATTTTTTATGGATTTTTTGTCAAAGCACTTAAGATATTCATTGCTATCGGGATGTGAAGAGCATTCCATGGAATATAACAAAAAGTGTATCTCGAGCCGGTTTCTCAAACTTACCTACCCCACCTTTAATATAGTGAATTTGACTGTATTTTCAACACTAAAAAGGTTAATCTCATCATGGTGTGAAAACGTACCTCCATCGTCTGTCTGTGTCTCCGTCTTACACTGAACTTCAGTGGGAGGGGAATGAGGAGACGTCCGAGTGGAGAGAAAAGGAGGCAGCAGACTCTCTGACTCATCCTGACAGGAGCAAACCCAAATCATGTCAGATGAAGAACCCTCAATATACATTACATTACATTTCATTTAGCTGATGCTTTTTATCCAAAGCGACTTACAATTCCAATTACAGGAACATTCTCCCTGGAGTAACTAAGGACTAAGTGCCTTACTCAAGGGCACACTAGTGGTGGCGTTCCTGGCGGGATTTGAACTCACAACCTTCCAATCTTCAGCCCACCTCACTATCCATTAGACCACCACTATCCCATTTATGGATCCAATATTTAAATAAATATATAGATTCTGGGATTAAATATCAGATTCTCTTTAAAGGTCACCTATTATGCAAAATCCACTTGTTCATGTCTTTTATACATCAACATGTGTCCAAAAAAATGCTCTCACTTTTTGTCCTGATCCATTTATATAAAAACCTGTCTGAAAATGAGCTGATCAGATTTTGGCCACTTTATGATGTCATAACGATTTTTTGGCTTGCGTAACCATTAGCCAATCACCAACCAAGATAACCCCCCCCCACCTTATCACCTGAATCTCCTCCTAGAGCACCATTGAGTTATTTTTAACCAAATATCTCTCAGAGGGGCGTGGGGAGGGGCTCCTTATTTTCATCTGAAGTAACAGACAGAGAATCAGCACTTTTGGAACAGGGCTGAAACAGAGGGGATTATGGGATGCTGCAATGATCTGTTTGGTATTTCGAGCCAAACACTTCAGAGACATGTTTTGTATATATCTGAGACCTATTATATATTGATGAAAAACAGTATAATAGGGGACCTTTAAGAAACCACGAGTTAACATCACCAATTCTACTACAGGACTGAATGAGATTGAGAACATGATAAATAGAGTTTATGAAATGTTGCTAAAAGGAGAAATGTATAGCTTAGACTTTGATCTAATATGTAATGACTCACTGAATCGATTGTTATATCTCACACAGGCTCCGCCCTCTACTGGACTCTATGGGTACTACCTCTCAACCATACTATGGGAGCATTCATCAACTGAAATATCTATAACCGTAGCCGGCCCCCTGGGACGGGCCTACCTGAATGCGCGCGCAAGCCCACCGTATATAAAGCGGCCTCGCCTCCTGGCTGTTATCCTCCACATTGTACGCAGAAAATTCCATATGTTAACTGTAAAACAGTTGCTGGGACTGGTGCAGCCAGGCGATTGGTTCACAACCATCGACCTGAAGGACGCTTACTTTCATGTCAAAATTGCTCCAAAGCACAGAGAGTATTTGCGTTTTGCCTTCCAGAGTGTAGCCTACGAGTACCACAGACTACCGTTCGGCTACTCCCTATCCCCACGCACGTTCAGCAAATGTGTGGCCACAGCGCTTCAGCCGCTGCGCGACCGTGGCATGAGGGTGTTCTTTTATCTAGACGACCTCATAGTCATGGCCAGGTCCAGGGAATGGGCAATGTTTCACACAGCCCAATTGATCCTACACCTAACCAAGTTGGGTTTCGCGGTCAATTGGAAGAAGAGCTCCCCCATACCTCACTAGCAGGTGCAGTATCATGGGATGTTGCTCGATGCAGGCAGCCTACGCGCCACCCTGTCAGAGAGCAGACAGGCATCCTTGCTTCGGGCAGTTTGCAGACTGCGACGTGGGGGTAACGGTGACAGCGCTTACCATTATGCAGACTCTGGGTCTCATGGCAGCTGCTCACTTCGTGGTACCGCTGGGCTTGCTGCATATGCGCCGCCTGCAGAGGTGGTTTGCCAGACTTAGTTTAGATCCCAAGAGGCACAAACTACGCCTGGTGACCATCCCCCCCTCAGTGGAGGGCAACCTCCGTTACTGGGGGTCCCCAGAGCGCCTCCGGAGGGGAACTCCACTGGCGCGGGTAACCTCCTGCGTCACGGTGTTCACAGACGCATCCGTGACAGGTTGGGGGGGGACCTGCCTAGGAAGAGCTATAGGGGGTCGCTGGTCTCTGACAGAGACACGGCAAAGCAACCTTCTAGAGCTGCGGGCAGTGGTGTTAGTCCTCCAGCATTTCAAACCCTTAATACAGGGCAAACATGTGCTGGTGAGGAGCGACAACAGCACCACAGTGGCGTACATCAACAGGCAGGGCGGAGTCTGCTCCACCACCTTGTTGACCACAGCAGAGAACCTGTGGTTGTGGGCTTCAGAGATTGTGTTGTCTCTGAGGGCCCTCCACATCCCGGGACTGGAGAACAGGGGGGCTGACCTCATGTCAAGAGGCGGGCCCTTGCCTTAACTTCGGCCAAGAGAGTGTCGGAGCTGACCGCTCTGTCGGTGCACCCAAGTTGCTTAGTGATCCGGGGTGACTGTAGCGGGGCGATACTCAGACCGATACTCAGACCGATACTCAGACCGAACCCCTCCTTTGTTCCCAAGAATCTAAGGAGCTCGTTCAGGTCAAGGGCTATTTAGGGGGCTTTAATCTTCCACCCCATAGTGGGGCCACGGAGGCTAAATTGCACCTCCTCTGCCCGGTGCGTGGGCTAGCATGTTATGTGGAGCGCACGGCTGCCACTAGGCGCACTGAACAACTGTTTGTGTGCTTTGGGGGCGGCGTGGCCGGTAAAGCTCTGTCCAAGAAACGCCTGGCGGGATGGCTCTGCGAGTGCATCTCACATGCCTACGGACAGGCGGGGAGAGCCTTCCCCACGGGGGTCCGTGCACACTCTACACGGGGTATGGCTGTGTCAACAGCCTTATTTAACGGAGTGAGTGTGGAGGACATATGTGCGGCGGCATCTTGGTCCACGCCAGGCCCCTTCATAAGGTTTTATCTCTTGGACATGTCTGGCTCCTTCTCATCATCTGTGCTTGCTGAGGCATCACAGGGCTGGTGAGGGGGGGGCTGTGGGTCAGCAGGTATCTGACCCCCCCCTCCTGGACATAGTGCACTTATGTTTTCCCATGCTCCTTAGGGACCCGGGAAACGTGGTGCGCAGTAAGCCCCATACAGGCGGAGCCTGTGTGAGATATAACGGTGGGTTACGTATTGTAACCCTAGTTATATAAGCACAGGCGGAGCCCTCTACTCGGGGCCCTGTCTGTCCTATGCTGCTCGCTGAAGAGAAGTGTAGGATGACAGCAAGGAGGCGAGGCCGCCTTATATACGGTGGGCTTGCGCGCGCATTCAGGTAGGCCCACCCCAGGGTGCCGGCTACGGTTATAGATATTTCAGTTGATGAATGCTCGCATAGTATGGTTGAGAGGTAGTACCCATAGAGTCCAGTAGAGGGCTCCGCCTGTGCTTATATAACTAGGGTTACAATACGTAACCCACCGTTTCATTTTCATCTGTAGCTCCGTCTCTGCTCTCTTCCTCCAGACAGAAATGAGTCTCCCTAATAATACAAATAAAACAGTAGCTTCAACAAGTTCCCACAATGCACAGCACGATGCAAAAATGATTGTACATTTCACATTGTAAATATCATAAAATGAAATAAAGTTATTTTCAGTGAATCACAGAGACTTGAGCCTACCTCGTCTGACGAACAGCCAAAAGGGTGAATAAATGAAAGAGAAGGAACATAAATATGAGATTATTGATCTTCTTCAACCTCTATTGATGATGTTTCTGTTACTGAATCAAATAAGAGACTTACGAGAGGCTCACGAACCAGGTGTTCACTATCATCTATATCAGTATCTAAAGGGGCCGTTATTGAATCCAGTTCATTATCGCCTGTAAGAGAAGGGAAAACACATTAAACCTTTGTTCAGTGTTAAATAGGTTATTTTCTCTCATGCGTTGTAAGTGTGTTAACCTGAATTTGAAGAATCATCCGTCAGTGAAGCCCATGAGACTTTAGATCTACGTTTAGAAGGGGTCCCGTTCTGTCTGTGAGGAGAGAGTCAGTTATTATAAACACTGTCACTGTAAAGTGTTCGGATAAACAAGTAGCTTGATTTTAAGTCAAAATAAAAAGAAGTGACTTTAAACATGAAAATAATTCACACTGTGTCTCTCAGATGTTCATCAGGCAAAGGAAGACAAAACCCCATGTTGTCTAATATTATTTTGAAGGTCATTTTTCTTTATTTTAAAAGGGTTTTAATTTGTTTTTTTCACAGAATAATAAATATTATAGGTAAATTGAGTCTATACATTTTTCTTTTTGTAGTTTAAAGTACTTACAGAATACAGCAGATTTAACTAGTGAACATCTGATATTAAGTTTGGTAGTTTATATTTGTTTGGAAGCAGGGTGTTTCTGTCCACCCTAAATCGGTAATTGACAAAAACCTGAAACCTAAACACCCCAGTATTCTGGTCTTAAGTAAGTTCACATCTAATATCAACTTAAGCTTCATAAATACACAATAGATACAGAACAAGTCGCTGGTGTTATAGTCTTGGTGTTGATGGTTCGGTGCATTAAAAGGTGATCTTTTTCCTTTTTTTATATAAAGTGCATTCAAAGTATGCTTTTTGCACTGATATCATTGTCAGCTATGAGCCTTTACAGTATGTAGACAGGAACGGGATTTGAGTCTTGAATTTCCCACAGGTCCCCTTTAACACCGCATATACAGTATTTCATTAATTTGGTGTATTGTGATTATTAGACCAGTTTGATTTTATATAACCGTTAGTGTATGTTTCTATATTTAGTCTAATATGACGCTGTTTGTAACATAAATAAGTTCTTACTTAATGTTAAACCTTAAATTGAATGCATGTTACTGTCATACTCTAATTGGTGGATTTTCCCCTGGGAAGTCTTTTAGCCTTTATACGCATTGTAGGAGCCATGAAACGTACAAAGTAATGCCTTTTGTTTGAATACAAATTAGTTTTGTACTGGTTCATATTTGGGTAATGGTTTGTATAATTATAAGATATTTGTTTGATCGCAATGGGTTGGTTGGTTTGGGTCATATGGATATGGGCGGCACTCATGGGAATTATAATCCTGTTCAACTGCGTGAGGTGTGTGTGTGTGTGTGTGTGTGTGTGTGTGTGTGTGTGTGTGTGTGTGTGTGTGTGTGGAAGAGAGGGTGACACAGGGTTGTTGTATTGTTTGTTGATCGCAAGCTTTAGGATTGCTGTGATCATTATTACAATGTCTATGTCTATGTAAAATAAGTTGATCATCTCATTTTTCATTAAACTACATTCACTTCAATCTTGATCTCAGCAAGTACTTTTTTGATAGCGTGTCATACAATAGCAAACAGGCCCGGCCTCAGCCTCTCAGCAACTTTGTTTGTTCCTGCTGTCGCTATACGCATGGTCATGGTTATATATATTTACTTTGCCTGATAAAAGTATTTGAACCCACAGTGAGGACGAGTGGGCAGGATCGAGTTTTTGATCCTACACACCTCTCATAAAGCTTTATTTTGCAAGAAGTGTTTCGTTATTGTGACCAGACTATAATAGATTTTAACATACAAATAATAAGTGTTGATGTGCTACTAACTTTACAATTTTTTTTCAAGACTTTTAAGGAAAAACAGCAAAGCGAGCATGAAAATAATCACACACTTACTTGTCTCTGAAACTCAACTGTCTCTGTTTCAAAAGCAAAATCAGAATGATTAAAATCACTATAACATGGTGAGATTAAAGTATTAATCATGAACAGTATGTGTACCTTGATAGATGAAGGCTTCCTACTGCTGGAGGAGTTTGAGTCACTGCTGTACACAGTCGGCCGTTGGTCAGTAGAGTCACCTGTCGAGAAGAATAATCATTTTATCTGTAACATTAAGAATAAAAACGATTTAAAACACAAGACAGAGTTGCTGTGAGTGTGACATACCACTGGCATTCTTCTTGTGTGAACCAGGAGCATGTTTGTCACAATATGACCTAAAAACACACGAGTGGATGTTAGAAAGGGATCAGATATCAATGTTCAGAGCATAAAAATGTTTAGTTTTAGCCTTATAAAGAAAGAGCTTTGCAAAATGTGAACATACTTACATAACAATGCTATAAGACAAACTTTCCAAGCTGATGTTTCCTTCTGACTTCTCACAGGTAAGGCAATAAACCTCATGAAATAAAAACAAATGTGTGTCTTCGATAAATATGATTGCACTAACAGAAATAAATAAATAACAAAATAACTGCATCAGGAACAGTTTATTTTATTTTAAGTGGCATTTGTTGAAATGTACAGAGCCCAACTCTTTAAAGGGGACCTATCATGCAAAATGCACTTTTGTACGTCTTTTATACATGAATATGTGTCCCCGGTGTTCCAGGGAACTCACTAAGTGTCAGAAAACACAACCCTCTCTCTTTTCATCCATACCCAAATCTCTAAAAACGGGGCTGCAACGGAGCTGATAAAAACTGATACAGATTTGAAATTGTTCTGACGTCAGAAACAGGGTGCTCCGCCTATATGGGCAACTCTCCACCTATCAGGGGAATGAGAGGTTGCCGTGGCATGGTAACAGCATGGTAACATGACGCTCATGCCTCCTTTGCAGGGGGGCGTGGTCAGCTGCAGCTCATTTGCCACAGAATCAGCCCTTGCAAAAATAGTGCTCAAATACAGCAAATAGAGCGAAATGAGGCATGGCTAAAATACATGATCTGTTTGGTATTTTGAAAAAAAAACTTCATAGACATGTTTTATATAGGTATGGCCCTACAATATATTATTCAAATATAGCATGATAGGTCCACTTTAAGGTAATTATTTATTGGTGGTTTGCTATACATTTAGGTAGAAGACAGTTTCATAAATCAAACCTTAGATGTTCCAGCTTCTTCAGGATGTCCGTAAGCTCTGGACTTTGAGGATAAAGAGAGAGATCCGTTTTCGGAGGGGTTGTTTTCTGGAAACGGGAAATACATTGTCATAAACTGAAAATATGTTTTGACAGGAAGAAGGTAAAAAAAAGCCACACCTACCTTGTGTTTTTGGATAGTGTTTGTAGCAGTACAGCCTGAAGCAGAACACAAAGTTGTTTTACATCAAAACCAATTTACACTTCACTTTGTTCATACTGCAGGACAGGGTAATGGATAACCCAGACACACAGAAAACGTTGATATTGGACTTACACATATTCCTCCTTGGTTACATCCTCAACGATCTTGGCTCTTTCTTCCACAGCACACGGGTAGTGGTAGGACTTCTTGCAGCGTACGACTTCACACCCAACCGTGGCTCCCCTCTTCTTACATTTGTTACAGATCTTACACAAACAAATTAGTTAAAGGTCACCTATTATGCAAAATCCACTTTTTCATGTCTTTTATACATCAACATGTGTCCCCTCTGTGTAAAGAGATTCTGAAAGTTTCAGGAACAAAGACCCCCTCTCTTTTTGTCCTGATCCATTTATATAAAAACCAGTCTGAAAATGAGCTGATCAGATTTTGGCCACTTTATGATGTCATAACGATTTTTTGGCTTGTGTAACCATTAGCCAATCACCAACCAAGGTAACCCCCCCCCCCCACCTTATCACCTGAATCTCCTCCTAGACCACCATTGTGTTCTTTTTAACCAAATATCTCTCAGAGGGGCGTGGGGAGTGGCTCCTTATTTTCATCTGAAGTAACTGGCACAGAATCAGCACTTTTGAAACAGGGCTGAAACAGAGGGGATTATGGGATGCTGCAATGATCTGTTTGGTGTTTAGAGCCAAACACTTCAGAGACATGTTTGTAAATATCTGAGACCTATAATATATTGATGAAAAACAGTATGATAGGGGACCTTTAAACAACTAAACACACAAACATTGGATTAGGCCAATTCATGACAGAAAACAATCAAGAATCTTTACCAGTTGTCGTCCTCGTTTCACCTCGTTCAACACATCCTCCACAGAGAAACCAAACAGATCGTCGAACTGCGGAGTGTTACGACAAAAGAGTGCAGAGGCAAATAACTGGAGAAAAACAAAGAAACAGCACGAGTGAGAACAAATGTTTAATACAGTGAAACTGTAAATCATGGAAACATAAGGGTTTCACTGGAGGAGCAGGAATAAACATCAGCTGTAAACAAAGGCCTTATTGGAGAATTATACATTTAAAGCATACATGCAAACTGAATACTGGGTGGACAAAGTTCAACACATATACTGTACAAGAGACTATCATGTGAGAAGTAAAAGTGGAGGGACTTTAGAAGACCCAAAAGAAGACATGTGCATCACTTCAATTGTTTTTTTTATTGTACTGTATTTTTACATTTGTAATTAATTCCATAATTGTAATATTAGTAGATTCAAATGTTTACGTTTGTGTTTTTTTATTCATATTGTAGTAGCTTTGTTGCAGGGAGTCTGAGAACAAACAACTAATTCATTGTTGTTCATCTTGTTGTCACGGCTTGAATAGTCCGCAGGCATTACAGGCTCTGCCCTTGCATGGTTCAGGTCTTACCTGACTGACCGTAGCTTCTCAGTGCAGTTGGGTATCTTCTCCTCTGCTAAAGCCCCTCTTACCTGTGGGGTTCCCCAAGGCTCGATCCTGGGCCCCATCCTTTTTCTACTGTACATACTGCCCCTAGGTTCAATTCTCACAAAACACAATATCTCCTTCCATTGTTACGCTGATGATGTACAGATCTATCTGCCACTCAATCAAAATGCCAACTCACTACAGCAGCGGATGGACTGCTTAACAGAGAACAAATCCTGGTTGAGCCCAAACTTCCTCACCCTCAATGAGAGCAAGACCGAGGTTATCTTTTTTGGACCCCAACCTCCAGCCTCTCCGGTTGACATTCTGGGCTCCCTCAATAAAAACATCCTCCCCTCTGTCATGAACCTTGGAGTGACCTTTAATAGCGCTTTTACATTTGATAAGCAGGTCAGCACCGTAGTCAAGACCTGCTTTTTAAAAATACGACTATTGGTTAAGACCAAGTCGTTTTTATCTTTTAAAGACCTGGAAAGGGTTATTAACGCCTTTGTTACCTCGAGACTGGATTACTGCAACGCTCTGTATGTGGGTATGGACCAGGCCTCAATTAGACGCCTGCAGCTAGTTCAGAATGCAGCTGCACGTCTTCTCACTGGCCATAAAAAGCGTGACCACATCACCCCAATTCTGGCCTCATTGCACTGGCTTCCAGTTCGGTTCAGAATAGATTTTAAACTCCTTTTATTTGTTTTCAAAGCCCTAAATGGGCTGGCTCCGGCCTACATAGCCGAACACCTCCATCGCTACACCCCAGCCAGAGCCTTAAGGTCGGCTGACCAGCTGCTGCTGATAGTGCCCAAGACTAGGCTTAAAACCCGAGGGCACCGAGCATTCGCAGCAGCGGGCCCCAGGCTCTGGAACATTTTGCCCCTCCATGTGAGGTCGGCCCAGACCCTAGGGGTTTTTAAATCAACACTTAAAACTCACTTCTTCTCTCTGGCCTTCACTTAAATCCTAAAAATGTGGATCTTATATTGAAAAATAAGGTTATTACTACTACTCATTCTTCTAAATCTTTTCTCTCTCTACTTCTCATATTCTCTACTCCTGTAATCGATTATTTCTATCCTCTCTTTATCCAAAAACCTTTTCCCTCTCTGACCTTTCAAGGTTTTATTAGAGGGAAACAGGTTTGCAGAGAAGCTTATCCAGGCAGGGGAGTGTTATGACCGTATTCACAGCTTCCTCCCTACCTCTGCTCAATTCCAACTAATGGCGCGTTTCCACTACAGCGCGGAGCACGGTTTGAGAGGGCTGTGACGTCAGCGGCCCGTCTTTGGTTGCGTTTCCACTTGGCCTAGTACCGGCCGGCGGGTCCTAATTCACAGTTTTTCTGGCCTCATAAAATCGTGGGTCTAGGGCCAGAGACAACGAGGCTGAGTCGGGCTGAGTATGCTAAACTAGAGAGAGAATCGCTGGCAAGGGGGCTACAACTACAACAAGATGGACATATTTGACCGTGATTTAATTGTAATACACGTTTCAAAATGATGCCGAAGTAACAACATACTGATACCGGTTAGTAAAAACCATGAATTAATGCTTTGTCAAGTCTGCAGACAGACGGCAGGCGAAAAACCTTTTAAAATGCGTGTTTTCTAAATGGAGATTGGCTAAGCTAACGCAGTATATGCTCCGACCGTCCACACTCACAACAACGGCCTATACAGACATAAATAAAGCAGCGACTGTATTCGCCATGACACAGGCAGTCTGTGGTTTGTACTTGTTTAACTTTTGTCTAGTTTCTGAACATATATGAGGAGCTGTGAGCTCTGAGTGCTAACAGCTAACGGCTGTGTTGTTTTTCTGGGGTTCTCATTGAAGATGACGTCACGGCTCCGCCTACACTGCGTTACTATAGATACTACCCCAGTTCCTAAACTGTAATGGAAATGTGCCATTAAGTGAGCCAGTCCTAACGAGGCCTAGCCATACCGAGCGTGGCCGTGTAGTGGAAATGCGCCACTAGGCTCCAGTGGGGCCTTATGGCGCGTTTCCACTACACGGCCTCGCTCGGCCCCGCTCGGCCTCCTTTGGCCGCGCCCGGCCTCGTTAGGACCAGCTCACTTTATGGCGCATTTCCATTACAGTTTAGGAACTGGGGTAGTATCTATAGTAACGCAGTGTAGGCGGAGCCGTGACGTCATCTTCAATGAGAACCCCAGAAAAACAATACAGCCGTTACCTGTTAGCACTCAGAGCTCACAGCTCCTCATATATGTTCAGAAACTAGACAAAAGTTAAACAAGTACACACCACAGACTGCCTGTGTAATTTTTATTTTATTTAACCTTTATTTAACCAGATAAAAACATTGAGATAAAATCTAATTTTCAATGCTGACCTGGCCAAGAAGGCAGCAACGTTACACATAACACATAACACAAACATATAAAATACAGAGAACATAACAAAGAAAACAAAAGACGAAAAAGCAGTCACTACAGGACAATAAAAAAGTACACTACTTGTTACTGCAAGAGCAGCTGGTGGTGAGGACTTCAGACAACTTCAATTTAAAACATGATATAGAGACAAGTGCCCTCAGTTTAAGGCGTGATTGAAGGTCATTCCATTCAATGGCGAATACAGTCGCTGCTTTATTTATGTCTGTATAGGCCGTTGTTGTGAGTGTGGACGGTCGGAGCATATACTGCGTTAGCTTAGCCAATCTCCATTTAGAAAACACGCATTTTAAAAGGTTTTTCGCCTGCCGTCTGTCTGCAGACTTGACAAAGCATTAATTCATGGTTTTTACTAACCGGTATCAGTATGTTGTTACTTCGGCATCATTTTGAAACGTGTATTACAATTAAATCACGGTCAAATATGTCCATCTTGTTGTAGTTGTAGCCCCCTTGCCAGCGATGCTCTCTCTAGTTTAGCATACTCAGCCCGACTCAGCCTCGTTGTCTCTGGCCCTAGACCCACGATTTTATGAGGCCAGAAAAACTGTGAATTAGGACCCGCCGGCCGGTACTAGGCCAAGTGGAAACGCAACCAAAGACGGGCCGCTGACGTCACAGCCCTCTTAAACCGTGCTCCGCGCTGTAGTGGAAACGCGCCATTAGTTCCCTGCGTGTGCCTCTCCGCGTCTGTTTCTTACTCTCTTACTTGCTACCCTTTTCCCTTAACCTATCCTAAGGGAGTGCTTGTTCTTCCTTCTGTCTGTCTGTGTCTGTGAACTCTCATGTTTCGATTAACCCAGCCACATTTTTTTTGTTTTGTGTCTATATCGACGCCGGGATCCGGAGTCGAGGCTGATCCTCTTGCTGTGGTCCTGTGCCCTGGATCCTCTATCCTGAGTTCTGGATTAAGTCGTGGACTTCGGGTCGTGGCTGGGCCTGTCTCTGCGGTCCTGCCTGGCTCTCGTCATGCTGCTTCCCTGATGGCTCCCACAGGATTGTTGTTGAAATCTTCGTGGATTCATCTTCTTATTATAGACACATGCATTTCCAAACATTCGGTCTACCTACGCTGTAAAATGTATTATCTCTTCGATTTACACACGGCATCTATTACACTTCTGTCCATCCTGGGAGAGGGATCCCTCCTCTGTTGCTCTCCCCGAGGTTTCTCCCATTTTCCCCTTTGAAATGTGGGTTTTTCTCTGGAAGTTTTTCCTTGTACGATGTGAGGGTCTAAGGACAGAGGGTGTCGTTTTTCTCATACTGATATTCTGAACTGTGCTGTTGTATTTGCTGTAAAGTGTCTTTACTGTAGGGTATTTTTATTATATGTACAGCACTTTGACTCGACCAAAAATTGTTTAAAAATGTGTTATATAAATAAAACTTGATTGATTGATTGATTGTGCAAATAAAAAACATGAGACTTTGAAAATTAAACTGAACAAATATAATCAACACTTAAATAAGACTTAAGTGACTCCTGGACAAAATGTACAAGCTACCCTGCAGTATACAAAGTCATTAAAACTAGCTGCACCTTTACCAGCTTTGATAACACTTTAATGTTTCAATCATTAAAATCAAAACATATAATATATCTAATTCAGAAATGAACCAAATTGCAGAATGAGTATTTTTACTTTTGGTACTTAAAGTATATTATGATGCTAATACTTTTGTACTTTTACTTGAGTAACATTTTGAATGCAGGACTTGTACTTGTACTTTTACAAGATCTGAGTACTTCTCCCACATCTGCGTCCTGCCTGTTTATCCTTTTAGCATCTCCATAAAAGCCGTATATTAAACCTATAACTAGTGATGGCAGTTTGACACTGAAGCTTCGAACGAGGCTTCAACCCTGGACTTCCTATTCCATAGAGTGGCGAAGTCACGCCCACTTACTTCCGGGTAATGGGACCTTATTTCGGAAAAATTATGCATTGAAGTCAATGGGGAGAGAAAACTTATCTTTCGATCCCGTTTGAATTGTGCCATTTGAATTGTGCCACACATATGATGTTTGTCAATCTTAAAAAATCTTAAAAAATCATTTCCATGTCAAAAAAGTCACAGTTTGTCGTAAATCTTAAAAAATCTTAAAAAATCATTTCCATGTCAAAAAAGTCACAGTTTGTCGTAAAACTGTTGAAATATAAGACTATGAAAAATACGTAACTAGAAAGACTACAAATCCCAGAGTCGCGTAAGTGATGTCACAATTGAGACACTACGATATACGTATAATACCGTATATATACGATCAGCGCCATATAGATAGAATCTATCTATATGGCGCTGGCTAAGATAAGATAACTTTCACAAGATGCCTGTGTGCTTAGTACCAGGTTGTTATTATACCAGCAATGGGTCTTGCTCGTTCTTTTGCTTCCCGTCTGATGAAAGAGGAGTGTGTGGATCAAGCTAGCTAGTAGCTAGCACGTTAGTTAGCATTACAGCCTTGTCATTTTTATTAGCCTTAACATGAAGTAACATTAAGTAACCCACAATGTTAAAGGTCCCATGTCATGGCCATTTCCACTGATCATAATTACATTGTTGAGGTATACTAAAATAGATTTATACTGTGCAATTTTCCAAACTCACATTGGTTTCGCATACAGCATCTCTGTCAAGCATGTGTATTCAGCAGTATTCACTTTCTCCACTAAACGACTCGTTGGAGCTCTTGCCCCCCCCTCCCTGTGAGCCTAGTGTGCTCCGATTGGTCAGCTCGGCCACTCGTTCTGATTAGTCAACCACCAGAGAGGCTGCGCCCATGTCTAACAGTGCTTTTCCCGGCTGCTCTCAGCGTAACATCAGTCTTATCATGGCGTCGGCACAGCCGTATATTTTATATACATATATATTTTTAACTGTTGTTATAGAAGAGTGTGACGGCCCCAGGGCCTTTGTCTTACGATGGGGTGGAGCTGAAGAGGCTAATCAGCACGATCACGGACACCTCCGGACACTACGGCCCCAGTCTCTCTCCAAAGCGGCTGCAGGAGGACTAACTCTGCGATCCTCTCAACCACCTATCTCTCCATTTACCACAATAAATGTGCCGTGGTTTTGTAAACTCGTGTATGTCTCCTTGTCTTTGTGGCCTACGAGCCGCTCATAACAAAGAGTAAGTTATTTTTACCCGTTATAAACTACTACTGTTTGATGAGAAATCAAATCATGGTTTGCTATATATGAATTCAGGGAAGAAAGGATAGGCCTACTAAGTATTTCCATTAAACTTTATTTTTAGAAATGTACAAAATGAACATAAATATACATATATACACGGTATATCATCCATTCCTTCTCCTTGCATCTTGCCTGCGCACAGTCGGTGCGGTGCCTTTTAGCACGACGCCTCAGTAGTAGTAGAAGTGCCTTTTAGCACGTCATGGATTGTCCGCCAGGATCTGGCTGGACGAAATCAAATGCAAATCACAAAATATTAGAGAAACTTAGTTGTTTTAGATTCGTTAGTAGTAGTTGTGTAATGAACAGCTTGCCTGCTAATATGCTAACCTAGCTTTGTTTACCTTGGTAGCTAACACGATATGAACGTTAGCTTGGAGGAAAGGCAACTATAATGCAGTGTAATAAAACCACTATGAACAAAAGCTAGTGGTTCATATTAGGCTAGCAATAACGTGTTTATAATTGCAATCGTATACGGGTATTCTGCTACCATACAATGTAACTTGCATGAATACATTGTTTTGCGCTAGCATACAGCTAGCCTCGTTAGCTACATGCAGTATATGTACGGTCACAATGTACGGTAAATAACAGTACAGTATACTGTATGAGTATTCCGTGTGTGTGCATGCAGACATTCTCCTGCTATGAGATACATGTATGCAAGGCCATCTGCTGATATTAGAGTTGATATATGGAAACTCTAGCAACTTAGTTAGCACAGTTAGCACTGTGTCAATGGCTTAGCAGTCCAACACAGTTTACACATTTAAACAGTCTTGTTTGATAAATACACAAATAACAATGCAAACTTACAGGTTGTATACCCAGATCTTCCCCTGCTCCAAACGGTCCAAACAAGCTGTGCATATCCGGCCTCAAACTGGGCAATGTTTTGGAAGCTTTCGTCTGTGAAATGCCGGTTCTTCGAACCTCTGGAGGAGGAACACGCCGCTGCTGGTGTGGCCATAGCTCTTCGGGATTGGTCCATTTCGTTCCGGGTACCGCATGACATCAGGCGGTACCCGGAACGAAATGGAAGACTCAAATGGGCAGTGACGTATCTCCAACGAGGCGTTTTGGGGAGGTATTTTCTGTGTTAGAGTTTTACTCGCTACAGGGTGTACTTTGAGGGTTTTGACTCTGCACACCGTTTACATGCATAAAAACCTTCATAACACACAAGGGGACGGGTAATAACCGGAAAAGCATGACATGGGAGCTTTAAACAGTAAGAGTAGTAGTCATATTTCGTGAACCCTTTGAAGAGTACTGTCACCGGTGTGATCATTCTATAATACACAATTTAAGCCCGGGGGAGAAATGCTAACGCTAACGCTAGCGATCTTCTCTACTTCATGCTATCTGCACAAATGGTTGACATTAAACATTAAAACGACCAGGCAGTTCAGAGAGAATCAAAGGAAGGCAGGCAGGCAGCTTTGCATGACATTCTTCAGGACGTGTTTCATTGTGGTGATAGTGAGTAGTCAATCGTTGTGTTGACAAGACAGTAGTGACGGCCATCTTGGTGACGTGTGTTGTTGTGCGAGACCAGAGATGTAGTTCATTGAGCGTTTCACACAAACAAATGTGTTACTTCACAGTTTTACGACACATTTTTTTTTTTTTGACTTGCAAAATTATCTTTTAAATTGACAAACAACATATGTGTAATTCGTGGCACAATTCAAACGGGATCGAAAGATAATCTTTCTCTCTCCATTGACTTCAATACATAATTTTTCCGAAATAAGGTCCCATGGAGGTCCACCGGAAGGGGAGGGACTTCGCCACTCTATAGAAGCAGTGATTCGAAGCTTGCTTCAAATCACGTGACATATGACGTCCGAACCAGGGTTGCGTTCGAATACTCCAAAAAAACAGCTCCTAAGTTCTAACCCTATCGTCTATTCCTTGACCTCGGAGTGAAACGTCATGGGGTTAAGGGATAGTGGATAGGAGAATTCAAAAGGATTTAGGAGAAGAGACTGCGGCACTTTAGAGAATCCGACTGCACTTTCACTATCCGACGTGTTTATGATGCGCCAGCAGAGGTCATAAATGTGCGCCTGCTGCTGTGGGGAAACTATGGAAACTACAGTTTTCTATACAGCGGACTACAACATGGATGTTTAATAAGAACGAGGGACTACTGTAAACTCATCTAGAGACTCTGCACCGTGCTCTGATGCTGTTGTTTTATGCTTTATGAACGGGGACAACAGAGAAACATATTCTTCATGACCAAAGTTGGAATTGAAATAAAAAAGGAAAGTGAAACTGTCACCCTCTCCCTCCGGTCCACATTAATACAAATGATCCCAATACGTATGATTGTATGAAAAGATCTTAAAATCAATACAAATGTATTTATTATAACGGTTAGTCCTTAACATCTATCACTGTGTATATCACCATTCAAACATCTTTTAAAAGTTGAACAAACCCCACACAGCTCAGTAAAGACTGTGAAATGTTGACTTTATTTGATCATTTCAGTAAAAACTAACGTTCATATTTCTCTTTTTGATTATAATACTGATGAACGTTCAAAACAAAGCACTTTGGCAACTTACCACATACGTTTTAAAATGCTTAATAAGCACCGTAACTTTCATGATATCATTTCTCGTTCATAATCGGTTGTTTCCGTGAACGGCCGACTGTTGTGTGATGGCAAATGCTGCGGCCGCAAGGCATTGTGGGGCAGCATTTTCTCCTCTCCTTTCGGTTAGGGAGGTCCAGTGGTTCCTAAGCTAAAGGAGGTTATAAAGGAAGTTTGAAACCTCCTTTCCTTTTAATTTAGAGAATTCGAACGGCACTTATCATGGCTGCCACTGAGGGACTTCCGGGTCATTTCACTCCGTTAGGAAGGTTCCTAAGCTAAATGGACTATTCGAATGCAACCCAGCAACTGCTTCAAATCACGTGACATATGACGTCCGAAGCACCAATTGCATCATTTCCTGAATGAATCACTTGACTGGTTCACGGTCCAATCACGCGATTCAATGCACTGCCTCGTCTCTATTCTGACAGGTGACAGGTTGAAACAGTTTCGAATTTGAGCGCTTCGACACTTATAACCGCTCTAAACAATGCGCAATGTGTGGGTTGTTGTCGTAGTTTGCGTTGTTGCTGTTGAGTTGTTGTTGGTATTGCATTTTAATTGGATCATTATAGAGCAAGCCAGGAAGAAAGATAGGTCGTTCTGGCTCGGGAAACACTTCGAAATGTGGAGAACTTGTGAACAAAAAGACACTTAAGACTAATATGAAAACCATGTTACTAACTTAAGGTATAGATAGTCCAGTGGATAGAGCCGGCGGCCCGAAGCGACGATGTCCTCCGCGCAGCTGGTTCAAAGCCCGGAACAGATTAACTTTGAATCATTCCTTTTCAACTTTAATACTTTATTAACTGATAAAAGGCCCTCTCCGCCCAAACAAAATTCCAGCACTCGCAATACGCACAATTATCAATCTTTAATTGCAAATAGAACATGATATTCAGTCTTGTGTGTGTGTACATCGAATATTTTTCAAGGCAAAGATACGTTAAACCCACTGCAGCCTTGCACTTCGCCAGGAGAGGTCGCTGTAACTGAAGCTTCGAGAAATGAACCTGTCCAAGTGGTTCGATGCTTCATTCAAAGCTTCATTTTGCCATCACTACCTATAACATAGCTTACCACTTTTACCTCTCTAGCTAACATAAATCTCTTTAGAAGTAGTAAAAGAAAATTAAAGCATACATATTTTTGAATATTTACCAAACAGTTCTGGTGGGCCGTGACGTCATCTTTGGTGGATAACGCTCCTGTGATCTTCGTCTGTTCGGACCGCTGACAAAGTACACAGAGCAGCCTGTCATCCTCGTGCATGTCTCCAGACTCACTGCTAATAAACTCGTTGATTGTTTAAAGTAAATGTTTATTAATGTTTAGGCAGGTTTTAACACACGTTAGTTCATAACCGTTGCTCAAAGCTACTCCCTCTCCTCTGTCGCCCGCCAGTCAAATGTAGTGGAGGGTTGCCAGGTATTGTTCGAAATATCCCCCTCAACGATGTGCCTAAAGCCCCCAAATTCAATCTCTTTATTATGTTAGTTAGAAATAACGAGATAGTAGGTCTAATGAATGAGATAGAAAGTCTAATGAATGAGAGAGATAGAAAGTCTAAATAGTAAGTCTATACAATGAGATGGTAAGTCTAAATAAGTCAAAATCAAAGTCAACTTTTTTGTCAATCTTCCAATTTGTGTGTACAGACAGAGAGATTGAAATACCGTTTCCCACAATCCCGAATATAAAAACAAAGGTATATCAAAATATGTAAAATATTTGTGCAAATATGTATAGGCTATATACTGTATACACAGTCAAAGACACGTTTTTACATGTGCACACATTAAGACCTAGATAAAAAAAACTACAATCAATATATACAAAATAACAGTATATACTGATATACTAATGACATAGTAAGTCATAATAATGAGATATAAGTCTAATTACTGAGATATAAGTCTAATTAATGAGATATAAGTCTAATCAATGAGATAATAAGTCATAATAATGGGATATAAGTCTAATTAATGAGATAGTAAGTCTAATCATAGCTTCTATAGCTACAAGCTTCCTTTTGCATATTAAAACACATGATCTGCATACATGATATGATTTAGTACTATACTGTATAATCTGTTTTATATAATCATGTGTTTTAAGCCATGCTAGAGTTATTCATTTAGTTTTGTGAAAAGAGGCCCACCTATCACCATGACCACCTATCATACTTGAACTACATTTAGCTGATTGTGTTCTTACTTTCTACCCGAGTAGAGTAGAATTTTCAATTCAGAAGTTTTACTTGAAATGGAGTATTCAGACCAAAGTGTTTCTACTTATACTTGAGTCAAGGATCTGAGTAGTATCACTGAGCATAACAACATACTGATAACACATGATAATGGACCGTAGTGAGGATTTTAGTATGAAAGAAGTACCAAAGAAGTATGTTCTAATACTCTGCTACTAGTAAGAGTGGTGCATTTTAATTCTAACTTCGAAGTAGGTTTCATACGTATTATCATCACAATTTGGCAACAATTCTAAATGTTATTGATGTACAGTAGGGTACTTCATTACATGGAACCACTGATTTCAGTTTAATACTCAGGCTGTTAATTGTCTATATAGGATATACATATTTTATACATATTTGTATACATATTTGCATTTGTGGGAAACGGTATTTCGATCTCTCTGTCTGTACCGTCTGTACACACAAACTGAAAGATTGACAATAAAGTTGACTTTCAGGTTACAAACAAGTAAAACGATCAAACTTGGCAACCCAGTTGAACAGTTTCAGTATCATTTCTGGTCCTATAGACGTTTCCTCTCCAACTGTGTCAGTCCTTTGTGAGTCATAATTCACTGTATAGCTATAGAACAACGGATATGCGTTCATAATGAGCAATAATGACACGTCACGTGGTAATGGAATTTAGATTTTCTCCTCCCATATATAGTAAAAGTAAGTACTATCACGATGAAGAAATACTGTGTTAGAGTGAAAGTCCTGCATTTAGGTTCTAAGTATAATCAGGAAAAAGTACTTAAAGTTTTAAAAGTAATCAATGGGGGAAATGTATTTAATTTATTTATTTTTACTATAACATATTACACAATTATCATATCATTATCCTTTTATTTATTTAAAAGCAGAAGTGAAGTTTGTTGCAGTGAGTGTAATTTTAACCATTTTCTACAGGACTGCAGATCCTTTGTTTGGTTTGAGAAATGCGTCTCACTAAATTATTAAATATGCATTTAAATAATAAAAAAAAGGAAAATTGGCAAATCCTTATATTTGAAAAACAGTGACCATAAAATGATTGTCATATTCACATTTAGAGTGACTTGACAATGATCAAAATAGTATCTGATAAATCAATTAGTCAATCCACTAATTGATAAATCGACTAATAGTTTTAGTGCTGCTAGTATTTACTGTTGGGTAGATTAGTTTATAAGAAAACGTGACATTCAACATGCTCTTTGTATGTTTTGTATGAAAATAAAAGACTGAAAGGAAGTCCAAGAGACAGTGACTGATTCATCATAAGTCGTTTATGTAAAAAAAAAATTGACAAGTCACAAAGTGACGCACCATACTTAATGTACAATATAGCATCTCAAATAACAAACATTTCATGACAGACGGAAAGTAATGAACAATATCTACATTCAGAACGTGATCCCTCCACGGGGAATAAGTTAGCGCTTTACAGTGACCTCTGATTATCCACATGGAGAAGCTTTTTTTTAAACTGTAGCGTACATGAAAACTCACAGAGTTAGACCATGAGGCCGTAAGAGACCCCAAAAACACAAAGTCTGGGCAGCTGGTGGCAGAACAGGTTTCTAATGACAACAGAGGGACAGCCAACAGAGTAAAAAGACAGTAAGAGAAGCAGGAAAATTATAAAGTGACTAAATACAAGTGGGCTTTGTTGTTTCGTAAAAATAAATAAACATATATTAAAGGGCAAAGCAGAGGAGAGGGTGAGTAGACACTGAGAAAACATCCATTCAAGCTAAACCAGCTGCATTTATCTCTCTCCTGTTTTATTTAACAGTGGATTTATATACTCCTGCCTGGGTGAATTACTGCAGATTACACAAAGACAACTCTGTCATCTGCATATAATCACACATCTTTCCCCACTTGGGAACACACATGGATGCATTAACTGAGATCAGTCCTGCTGGCCCATTCATACATCATTACATTATGAACAGAGGGTTCTTCATTCGAAAAAAACAGACAGGAAGTGTATGACTGGAGGAAGATCCTTTGACTATACTTACTGTGTCTGTGATGTTTTGATATATTCAGTTTCTTCACCACACAATTCACGTCCCTAACATGTGCACATGTACAACATTATCTTAAGAATTGGTGTGTGCATGATGTTTAAAAAAAATATACAGCTTTCTGTGGAAACAAATTACAAGAATTCTTCTGATGTTGGCAACACAGCACAGATGCAAGCATTCACGAGGGCAGTCTGGTGAGGAGGAAGTGCAGGAGTTCAGGGTTTGATGTCCGGGAAGCTTGTGTAGGTTTCACTGCAGCTGGACGACGTGCTGAGGTTTCCAGAGCCACTGCCTTCTGGGAGACACACACATATTGAGGTACTGTTGCTTAAAATCTGTTCATGTGACTTAATCTTTATTTGGGATTGTTTGTATGAATACCTGAGCTGGTGAGAGACTGGCAGGACTTGGACTTTCCAATGAGTGTGATGAGACTAGCAGCAGCGATCCAGCCCTCTGTGGAGCTGCTCAGGTTACGCACCAACCTGAATGACCACACAAACACTAAAATAATCATTTCCGATATAAATATAGTTTCTGATAGGTAGCAGTAAGGCTGTGTTCTCACCACTGTCCGTCTTCCCCCTCCTTGACCAGCTCCACCATGTCTCCGCTCTTCAATGAGAGCTCTTCAGCGCCGCCCTGCTCATAGTCAGCAGTCACTGTATATTTGCCAGCAGTCTGTTTGCAGTGGAGAGAAGGAAAAAGAAAAAAGATATTCAAATCAAAGTCAAATTCATCAAGAATAACTTTATAATGCACGACATGTCAATTTGACAAATAAATCAACATAATTTCAGCCGCACTAATCAATATTTGTATGTCCAAAATGAACCCACAGAGAAAAATCATCTGTGATGCTCACAGCACTACGGGGCATTTAGGTCTTTTTAAGCTACAGATGCATTGATCAATTAGCCACTTGTTGAATATTATCAAGCTAATGCAGTCTATTCAATCTTCACTTGTCAAATGTACACATATAGGCTTAATGATGTCAGTGGCAAGTTTTCAATGAGATGGTGCACACTGATTACATTAAATATGCACTTCTGTTATGTCATGTAGACAGACTGTGTACTTATCAGCTGTCTGCTTCAATCCGAATTAGGTCAGGTCAACTACAAAAAAAATAGGGTGCATCTCTACTACGGGGGTCATTGCTTTGGTTTTCTTCACTATTGGTTCAGTTTCTCTTATATAACTTATTTCGAGTGAATGAGCTCTGATAAACCCACTATATGCTAAGTGCCTCGCACCAAATGAAACACATGTTAGCATTTAGAGCCAGATATTTCCATTTGGAGTGGCGGAGGCAAATCAAATGTCAAATGAAATACTCATCTGACTCCTAATGATAGCTAATGTTGCTCTGTGTCTGCTCGGAGAGTCAATATGTGACTTATGTTCCTGACATATTCAGCTTCCTATTTGGGGACAATTGGAGGCAAGTCCCCATAATTTAAATGTGTAAACGGTCCCCACAATGTGACATGACTGTGACACAAAGACACTCACCAGCTTCTTGCCGGTGTCCTCCTCTGGGTCAGAGTTCAGAGGCTCCTCAGCGCTGGAGTATCCGTCACGCTCCTCTGAGGCGTCCAGCGACAGGGAGGTTTTGTTCCAGCCTGAAGAGAGGATGAAGACAAGTGTTTAGTTCACAGCAACACTCATCTTCTGCTGCCGTCTAAAAACGTGCGTGAAGTGGAGTGAGGAGTCTACGAAGTGTGAAGAAGTGAGAGGAGGAACTTTAAAAAGCTCTATTGAGAAGAGAGAGAAAATGCAGGTAATCCCAGGAGGAAGCTTTCAGTTCCACAGCTACAAAAAGAAAAAGGCTTGACTCTGAAGTCAGCAGCACCCTGAATCCCTGTATACAAAGCCAATGGTATTTTTTCATTTTTTGTTGTTGCAGAAAATAAACTCTGTGGCAAAACAAAAGTTTATAAATCACATGTTTAGTTCAGCAATATCATTTTCATAAAGGAACCCTACTTTAGTGATTTTATAAGCGTAATTGCATATCCTAACAGTCAAATAAGTCAAATTAGGCAATAAAAACTAACTACAACCTCGTTGCATGATTTTAATGTCCCCACTACTAAGTGTTCAGCATAATGACATTCGGTAGTCTTGGCAACCACTTTTTTAAAAGACATATGAAACCGAGGAGATTGGGGTACAGGTTGAAGTATTTTATAATAATCTCGTATGCTTGTGTTCGCCACAGACCTTATTTCCGGCATCTCACCAAAAAAACCCATTCAAATGACCCATCAAGGGAGTGAACCAGAAGTGTAACATTCCTTACTCATTCTCAGGTTCAAGAACTCATTCATGCAGCATTTTATTTCTAAAAAACGTCAAGATTAGGAGGACAGGCATGCATCTTCAAATATTAAACCCTGTGACTCAAACTAAGGAAAAGTGGCAGGCAGAACTTCTCTATATTAGTGCGTATTTCTATGACTTTAAGCCTGAAAGGAGCGTGGTGACGTGTTACAGCAAAGCATTCAACTGAGAGAGGGTGTCTATAAGGGGTTATAGTGGTGAGACAGTGGGCCCAACACTGTGTACCTCTCAACTTTGTCTGTAAGAGACTAGAGGAGCTGCTCCACCTGACCCTGTTGAGGTGGAGCGGGGGAGGACCTGCATCTGAGGGACAGGAAGCGACAGAAACACAGCTAGTCATTCACCAGCAGCAGCTACAGCCAATGAGATGTTAGAGACTCTGAGACAGGAAGCAGACAGGAGGAGAGTGCAGATGTTGATGAACAAACTAACTACCTTTGAAGCCGAATGGCGTCGGGTCGCTCTGCCGTTTCGTCTTGTGATCGGGGCTCGTAGGAGAACCTGCTGTAAAGGAAGAAAGATCGATTTTAAGATGTGGGTTGAGTCAAGAAATACATCACAACTAAGATATAGACATTAGGAAGGCACATCCTGACAGCTAACACAAAAGGCCGACAACTATTTCTAAGATGGGAAGCGCAAAGCAAAACACAGAGTCCAGCAACAGACATTTTCCAGAGAGACCATTTGTCACAGTAGCACAGGTGTCACTAATAAAATAAATGGTGACTAAACTCCATTTAGTAGCGTCAGTTTCATGGTCCTGATATTGCTCAGAATCACACTGTCACGGTTTAATGCTATAAGTAACATGTGCTTTTTCTACTAGGAAAAGCCAGGGCTGTGAAAAGACATTTTGCTGGACTGAATCAAACTGGGGGAAAGCTGAGTGATACCTGAGGACAGGAAGATCATCATGGATGGTAACGTAAAGCTTTTATCATCAGAAGGCTCTGAGGAGGGAAGCATGCAGTTTTTGACCTTCTGACCAATCGTCTTTGCAGTATAATACATTGTTATTTAAAAAAAGAGCAACCCTGCGGCATCATTTGAGTATCACTGGCATATTGTATTGGCAACAAAGGAAACATCTAGTCTGTTTCTTCTAAACATACCAGAACGGCTATAGCTCTCCAGCTAAGTGTTCAAACATAAACTTATTTATTTTTATAGGAAGGTATTATACTATTTCTGTCTAATTCTTGGCAGGGATCAGGGATGTCTCTCTGATTTACTGACTTTCAGTAACTTGTTGTTACTTTACAGACATCTAAAGAAAGCCAATATCTGCCAAACAGGACTCTTTGCCTTTGACTAACTGGACATACATGTTCTTATTGCACTGATACATAAGATGAGGTGGTATGTTGGATATGTGTTTGTCTGAATTGGCCTGCAGTTACCTTTCTGAGCTTTGAGGTTACTGAAGCCCTGTAAAGTAAAGCGCTTTTTAGCCACAGCAGCTCGGTCTGAGGTCGGGCTTGTCACAGCCTCTTCTGATCCAGAGAGTAAGACAGGACAGACAAACAGAAGCAAGCAAGAGGGTCAGTTTAGCGAGTACGGAGGAAGAAAAGAGAATACAGATGTAAAGGAGATATGATTTGATTATATGATTCAGTAGAAAAGACAGGAAACAGCAAAGACATGGGTTAATCACAAAGAGGCACACATTACATGTAGCCGTTTGGACAAGACAAGCTCTACAAATGCTAGTACATGTGTTAAGAAATACAGATGAATAAGAGTTTTCTCTGTTTAGTTGGCTGTCACTCTATTCACCTTTTCCTGTAGGCTTTGGTGAGGAGGAACAGTTTGCCTCCAGGCTGCAGGGCTCAGCTTTCTTCTCCTCTCCTCTCTTTAAGCTCTTCTGACCGGACTTGAATGGACTGTGTTTGGACAGAAGTTTTTTTTTTTTTTATTATTTTTTTTTAACCTTTATTTAACCAGATAAAAAGCATTGAGATAAAATCTAATTTACAATGCTGACCTGGCCAAGAAGGCAGCAACGTTACACATTTTTACACATAACACAGACATATAAAATACAGAGAACACAACTAAGTAAACAAAAAAAAACGAAAAGCAGTCCCTACATTGTGCACATTTCGGACAGTAAGAAAGGTACACTACTTATTACTGCAAGAGCAGCTGGTGGTAAGGACCTCAGACAACTTCAATTTAAAGCAGGCTATAGGGACAAGTGCCGTCAGTTTAAGGCGTGATTGAAGGTCATTCCAAGACCAAGGACCAAGTGGAGAATAAGAAGCCGGATCGTTACTGATCAGCTGAAGATTCATTTTAAAAAGTCCTTTTTATAATAAGATGTTGGGAAAAACCGACTTACCTGAGATTTACTGATCCACTGAGAGCAGGAGACTGTACAACCTGATCTGGCGCCCTCTGCTGGCTCGCTTTGAAACACAAATAGAGAGGACAACGACTGAATAAACATCCATTATGCACCGTTTTCTTTCACAGTCATTACTGCAAGAAAGCAAGCGTGTCAGCTTCTGGTTGAACAGGGATATCAGTGAGAACATTTCATTTAGAAAAACGTTTTATGATAACATCCTCTCTCTCGTATGTGTAAACCTACTTGGTAATAAAACCGATTGTGTACCTCTGCATGCTTCCAGCTGGGTGGTCAGCACCTTCCTGATCTCATTCACCCAGGTGGTTTTTACTTCTGCCGTCGGAGCCTGAAACAGGAAGGTAAATTATTTAAATAAAACCTATATAGAAAAGCTTGGTGTATTCTGGAGGAAGATATCCATTTGCATGCGTATTGGTCAAAGACAGAACATTGTACATTAAGGATAAATCCTGTCATTTTAAATGTATAATTCTCAACAAATTCCATAAAATAAAACACAGAAATGTTCCTCCTTCCCACCGTCAGTGCCGATGACATATTTCATTTGTCAAAAGGCTAAGCAATTTCCTAAACAGCGAGGCACTGAAAACGTTCTGTTGTTTTAGAAATTATTTTTAAAACAACAGAACGTTTGGCTTCAATATTAGCATCACATTATTAAGAGCAAGTGAGAATTTGCAGCACCAGGATGTAGATGAGGGATTGAATAAACTCTATAGCAGAGAGGGTTTTATCAGGCTTGGGCTCCAGTTCTACTACTTCATGGGTTTTGTTTACAATTAGAATAAAACATAGCATATCAACACGGTTACGTCACCGTACCTGAACAATATACACCTCTTCTCTGGAGTTGCACCAGATTTCAAACTTCTTGTTGTCTCCCTTTGCATTCTCAGTAATGCCGACCGCACTCATCTGTAATCAAAGATATCAACCAATCAATACAAATGTTTGTTATAGATATATAAATATAATGTAAATGGCAGTATAGGAGACAAACACAGCAACACCCAATGCAGCCTCACATTGAGGGACTGTTTGAAGCTGTATGAGGGGGCCTTCTCGTAGCCCTCCCCGTTCTCCTCCCTCCTCTTGCAGAAGAGCAGCGTCTTCTGGTGGAGGAAGAGGTGCCTCTGCATGGGCTTGAAACGGGCCAGATCCTTGACCTTGGCGTGACCTTTCTTGTGCTCCGTCCACACGCTGAATGATCCCTGCATCAGCAGCTTCCCCAGCTCACTCTTGTTCCCCTGAGAAAAGACAGGTGCTGTAAGACAGAGCCAATGACCGCCTACTGCTTTGTACTGAAATGCTGTAAAGAGGCCATCATTAGATTTTTAAAACAACTCAATCTCTGTTCCATTTAATGCATCTGTTTTCTGTCCAGTCTCTGTTCTGGGATGTGAACCAGTGAGGCACTTTATGTGTGTTTACTGGCACTTTACCACTAAACACCAAGGGCACTGTATATTGTTTTTTATAAATTACATTTGTATTGTTGACTTAGCATGTTTTTTTCATATTTGTACTAAACGTGAACAGTTAATTTTGTATTTTTTATGCATTTCAGTTGCATTAAACAATCGTTGTTGTTTTTTTGTTTTTTAAATGAATGTTTCTCCTTCCCTGTTTTCTGTCTAGCTTTGTGTTATAGGCCGGTGTCCATCTGGAGGATCACTAATCTGAAAACACACATTGTAAATCAATTTTTTTCTTTTTATTGTATATCATTTCATAATTTGTGTTTTCGCCTTCTCCTTTTCTTCATGTCATATTTTTCATTTCTCACTTTTTGTATCCCCCCCTTCTTAGTTGGGTTTTATTAAATCACACAGACAACCATGCAAGAAATCCAATGTGCTTGGTACAGTCCCAGAACATCACACTCCACCACAGATCAGTGTGGCTTTTCACTACTTCATATTCAAACGCTACACTCAGCATGTCTCTGTCTTCCAGTTTGTTCCAGAGATCTATTCAAAGCTTTGTTCTGCGTGTGTTTCATGTCTCACCTCATATCCTGTGATGGCGATGAGGTGCATGGAGTCATTGACGGCCTTCAGGATGCCGAGGATGGAGGTGAGCGCCGCCTGCAGGTCGTCAGCCCCCTCACAGCTCTTACTGTACTTCAGCATTTCCTGTAGTCAGAAACAGTACACATTAAACTTGTTTCAATAACTGAAGAGCAGAAAATACGACTGTAAAGACATCAGCGAATAGGAACTGCTACCATCTAATCGGAGATACAGGGTCCCGCGATTCAATAAAGTCAGACTACTTTGTGCATCAGTCAAATGCACGCTAAAGGCTCTTTGAAAAGGTGTTCTCTCAGTGATTGTGCTGTTATGTTAAAGGTTTGTTGTTCATGTATTGTGTCTTGACATTTGTCCATGTTGATGTTACACATGGAGCTGCTGTGATGCAAGTCAAATGTCAGACTTGATCTGACCATTAAACATAGGCGGAGTTTGACATTTGCGCTTGGGGGGGCAAACCTTTTTCACTGACGTCAGTACACAGTCCCAACTATTGCGTGGGGTGCTACGGATACAGTAGCAATAAAGCCAGCGCTCACCGCACTGAGTATGGCTTTTCCACATAAGAACACAACTCGTCCCGTCATGCACGCCTCATGCCCGCCGTACACACACACTCATATGGAAGGGGCGGTCTCTCCCCCCAACAACAGTGCATTACATAACTGTAAAACGTATCATAACTCTGCACATCTTATACTTATTTGATAACTACTATATCCCTTGGTTACTTGAACACGCTACAATATTATTAACCAGTGTCCTACCTTATTCAAATATTGATATACGAAATATTTGTATTGGAACCCCCCCCCTGCCCCCCCGCAAAATCCGCCTATGCCATTAAAGTATTATCATATAGAATCTAGATCTTACCTTCAGGAGCAGCTGATATTTGGTAATCCTCTGAACAGGCTTCAGCAGGTAGGAATCTAATCCAAGTTTATGCTCCAGCTTCTTCTGACACTCCTGAGGGAAATACATAAAAGAAAAGGATTGTATTAAATAAAACAAACAAGCTAATATTTACTTTAAAATCCTGACAGAGGTGACTGCTCACCTGGAAGAAGGCACAGTCTGAGCACTGCCTCCACAGGCTCTCAGAGCGAGGCTTGTTGTGGCAGTACTTCTCATAGATCTGCAGGTCTGTCATCTAGAGGAAGGCGGTGAGAACATTTGCATTCAGGAAACCTCTTCAGCACAGTTGGATTTACATTTATATGCTGAAATGTCATAATTCACTTACCCTTTCAAGAAAACATCTTCCAACCAACTCTGGGCAGTCGGTGTACTGCTCCAACTCCCTCAGAAACGTCCTGGAAACAACAAAATCATTGTGTTGATGAAAAGGGAAGAAAGAGTTGACCATTTTATAGAATGAGCTTGATGGCTGGGACATGTAAGTATTTGAAAGAACATCCATAACATTCATCTGGTTGTAACTTATATATATATATATATATATTCCAATTACTTGTATATAGACTATTCTGCACAATTTCTATTATATTATATTTGATTTGATTTACTATTATCTGTTTTATTGTGTTGCACTGTTGGAGGAGCCTGTGACCTAAGAATGTCATTGTCATAACTACACTGATGTACATATGACAATAAAAGCCTTGAATCCTTGAATCATTAATGACAGGCAGGTGGCGCTCCTTCACCTCTTGTGGAATTGGTAGATTTCTGGCATGTTGCCAAACAGAACATCCTTCTTGTTCTGCAAAGGAGCGGGGATGAGGGGAGCCATGGCTGCATTATCCATCTCTGAGGCATATCCCTGAAACACACAAAACAAAGTCTTAACCCGAGCAAAAAACTGAGAAGAAGAAACATTTTTTGGAGAGAATAATAATAATAATACGTTTATTTCGTATAGCACCTTTAAAGGTGGGGTAGGTAAGTTTGAGAAACCGGCTCGAGATACACTTTTTGTTATATTCCATGGAATGCTCTTAACATCCCGATAGCAATGAATATCTTAAGTGCTTTGACAACAAATCCATAAAAAATGTCATCTGTGGAAGCCGTAATACTGTAAAAAGCACGACCAATCATTTTAGCCGGCCCGGCTAAAATAACTGGATGGCCTACCTGCCTGTCAGCCTTCCATCTGTGCACAAACTTATCTCGTGCCCTCATTGTCATGTGCGCGTTCGTGTGTGTTGGAGGAGGGGCTCTGTAAGGAAGTGGCAGATTTTTTCCGGTTGTGTATTTTCAAATTCTAGCGCACTCGAGCTGGTTTCTCCAAAATGACCTACCCCACCTTTAACCTTTCACAGAAATTGAATTCACAAAGTGCTCCACAAGAAAGAACAAAAGTTCAAGTTAAGACCACAGAAACATGAATACAATAACAACCAGTGGCGTTTTTATATGTACAAAAGTGGTGGGGCACAAAAAACTTAGATGTCTATATATAAGCTTCTGCAGTGACGTGCAGTGAGGTTCATGGCTGGTGAGGCACTGGCACTGACTCTTCAGGTTTACAAATATTATATTTTGACCTAAACCAAAATATAATATTATTTTCAAAAGCTTTTTTTGTCTGATGCTTCGATTAATTTTAAACAGACAGTTCAACAAAAGGATACCCAAAAAATGTCATTTTATCATTTAAATATTGAATTGTTCTCTCTTAGTAAGATCCCATTTTCAATAAAATGGCGGTCTTACCTTGACTTGAAGATGAAGTCCATTTGCCTATCCTTCTGGACAAACATTTCTATTACTTTTTTGTAAAAGTCCTCCTTATGTTCTTGTAGTTTCAAAAGTCTATCATAAATCTAATCCATAGATTTATGATAAAAAAATTATATAAGTAGGGTAGACATGTGGATGTTATCCGGCTAATCAAAACGTGCATTTACGTTTCCCACAGATCTTATTTCGAGCTATTTTCTAAAATCCTCTGGAGAAATCTCATTGCTTTTTTGTGCTTACTTCCTGGTTTTAGGACGCGCCACTGCAGCTCTCTCGTCTCCTCTTCACACAGCACACTTTTCGCGGCACACGTACTTACAGCCAATCAGCTCTGAATGATTTGAGATCACGTATGGTGGGGATGGTAGCTCCATGCCCCTCTGGTCATTATTTTTTTGCCACACACATTTCATTACAAAATACTCTGAGCATGCGCAGTGAAGTTTTTACAGTCACGTTCACTTCACAGCGAGAGGAAGGGGCATAATCAGGTTTTGTCCCACATGGCTCTAAACAGCTCAATAGGCACACACTGTGACTGTAGACACACTAATTAGAAGAACACAGACTAAAACAGCAATGTACAGACGAATCAGATGATTAAACATGATCTTAAAATATATTTTATATATTTTTTTATTTTTTTTTTTGCATTTTTGTAATCATTATTTGTAATACTTTCTGCTGACACTAGGTGGGGCTGTGCCCCACCTTCCCCTAATGACCAGTCGCCACTGATAACAACATAAACAATAAACTTATATATAAATAAACACCTGTAAGACACAGAGCAGCTCCTCAACGTAGGCTCTCTCAGTTTCCAGCAGCTCGTTCATAACGTGCCTGCAGACATGAGGAGGGGAATAGGTAGAAAGGAAAGAGAAAGGGATCAAATGAAGGATTTGACTCTGTAGATAATGAGATAACCGCCACACAGTCCATCTGCTGTGTAATTCGATTACAGATGAAAGAGCGGCTCCCCTCACCTCCTGAGCACCGCCAGGTTCTCCTCCTCCTCCGATAGAGAGGCATGTCTGATGTTACCGTCTCCGTTCTGCAGTTGGTCGTTTTCCTGGGAAGAAAAAACATCGGGTTACCGTGATAAGAGACAGACAATACAAAGTTTAGAGACAGACAGTGTGTAGACGGGACAATACCACACTCACTTTCTCACAGATGTTCTCAGAGTCTGTCTCTGAACACTTTTTCTCCTGCGGAGCTCTGTGTGCTGAGGAAGGGAAACAGGAAAGTTCATGTTTGGAAACAAATTATGTTGAACTCCTGTACAGAGGAAGTATATTATTACAACAAGTTGGTTGGTCATTCAACATAATATTTAAGGCATAACATGATTGATAGTATATATATATATATTTAGGCTTTTTTACATTTTTAATTGACACATATTGTAGACATTTTGGTTAAATCTCAAGTATTTTAATTGTATTTACACTAGATTTAGAACAAGTCAAAGGTATAGTCAAATAAATAAATTTTTAATTTTGTGTTATGGGATATTACCTGAAAGTACAATATGAGAAAATAAGCATTTGTACCAGAGAACATATTTACTGCTTATGTCCGGTCTATGACTGTCTTTACCTAAATAATGTTGAAATCACACCTTGAGGTTTTGCCAAAATTGTTATGAAAAAAACATGTAAATAAAATGTATTATATTACAGTTAGTATTTAAATACTTTTTAAATGAATATTAAAATATCTAAATATGACTAGTATACAGTAGCCCTTAATTAAGCCATGACATATCTTGATGACTGTCAGCATGTTGGAGACTGACCGGGGGAGCTGAGAGGGGATTTGATGAAGGCTTCGGGTCTGGGGGCCACCGGCTGCACCGGCCGGGTCTGTTTGGCTGCGAGCTTCTTCAGGCTGACCCTCCTCTTGTCAAACATCTCCTGCATGGACGTCTGCTTCTGGAAAACCTTCTCCACTTGGTCCTGATGCACAGAAAGGTATGAGAGGAGAGTCAATAAGGACATGTGCTACACATTTAAGTTTTTGTTCTAATAGAATTTTTTTGAAATTAACATTAATGTGTTGGGTCTACTGTTTCTTATTCATTTTGAGACATACTATACAACAATTTATATCAGTGACACTGTATGCTATAGGCTTAGATTCAAGATATCTAATCAGATAATTGAAAACAAAAAGGGAAAATTACTTAATTACTTATAAAAGATCATCCTTGTCCGTGTTGTAAATAATAAAACAGCTTTTTAAATGATAAATAGACTTACACATTTTGATCAACTCTGGCAAAAATCATACCACACTGATGTGAGACAAAGGATTATAATTATAACTAGAACAATAACAACAATAATAATCTGGACATTTTTTATCTATTTTTAATAGTTGACCCAAACATTCCCAATCCATTTGACAGAGACAGAGCGATGTTGATCAAAGATGTTTTTTTCGGTCGTCTTACTTTAAACTGCGGGTTCAGCACCGCCTCGAACTCGGTCCAGATGTTACCGAGTTCCGTCAGTTGGTTCTGGCCTGCATCGTCAAGGTAACGCTCCAGCTCCTTCAGGGCTAACTCTGCCCCCTCGTGTGATTGACACTTGTCCACAGGCTGAGACGCCAGCATGTAAATACCATCATCGACCCATTTAGACGCCTGAGGAGGACAGCAGAAGAAAAAGAGTCAGTCAAAGCAACAACAACAAACAGGACAAAGAAACTAAACCATGTGTGTTTTTCTTACTCTCTCCAAACTGCGGTGCAGCTCCATGGCTTTGACGAGGTGCTCCTTCCTGTCCCTCAGGCTGCTGCTCACATTCTCACTGATCGCTCTGAGCTCGCTGCATTTGGGCTGAATGGAGTCCTCGGCGTAGTGTGAGTTCTGGATCAGCTCATCTCCCTCACGGGCCAACGACGAGGCTCTGTTCAACCCGTCCTGAGTGGAGTCATAAACATACAATTATTATTATTCATTTTCCCTAAATCCTTCATATCTGGATGAGTCTATTTTTAGACATATTTCATACAGTTGCTCAGCACTGGTTGTGATGCTTTTTTGTATAGCCATATCATATAACAGATATACTGCCAAAAATATTGAATCGATTTTTAATGTCAACCAAAATGCAAAGCAAACATGCATCAAGTCAAACTGAAACAAAAATGACGGCCCTTTTCCCCTAGATGGCAGTGTAGAGCAAAATTATTTGATAGCAAATCAGGATTGGTTATGAGACATTTTGTAAAATCTCTTTTTGTACAAAGCCATAATATTCTTGGGCAGTATTTAATTACCACTACAAAATCATGGCCATATTCAGCCAATGAAAGTGACTGAAATGTGCATTTTGAAGTGGATCTGGGTCCATATTAGATTGAAAACATTTTTAAATCTCTTCTAAGTAAATGTAGAGGATTTAACAGATTTGGAAGATACCATATAGGAGTACATAATCGCATCTTATATTTGTTAGATGTGTTTCTATCCTGTATTTTAAAACCCTCTTAGTTTTTAATTGATGTATATGTCAACACTGTGGAAACAGCTTTTCAACCCTCTAAATATTCTGTACATATTGCAGATTTGACAATAAAGTTGACTTTGAATTGAACTTAAATGCTTCCTTTGCATTCGTGAAATGATGCTCAGTAAGACCTTTTTCAATAACGCACCTGTATACTTTGATTTTTGTACGTTTTTTTACGACTACGAGATTAACAAACTATTTTGTAACACTGACTGGCTCAACAACAAACAAACCCACCTTATAGAATATATCACTCATCTATTCATGGCATGGTCCAACAAAGCTTTGATTGTGAGGGGTGTCACTTACACAGACTCTCTCCTCATACGTGGTGAGTTCACAGAAGATGTGTTCAGCGTGGGCCGGGCTGATCCCCACCTCAGAGAAGGTTGAGAGTTTCTCAGACACCTGATCCAGCAGAGCCCTGACCTGAAGCAGCAGAACCACAGTCAGTGTTCAGGTGTAAACAGGATCATGTGGACTCTGTTCAAGTCTTTCACGGACGATTTAACCTGAGCTAACCGGCTCACCTCTCTGTAGTTGTGCTCAAAGTGGCGCAGTTGGAGACACTGCTCCAGTTTGGTTTGATGCCTCACCCAGAACTCATCGAAAGCCCTTTCTGTCTCGTCCAGCTGAGACAACAGTCTGAAAGAGAGGGAGACAGCAAAAGATTGAATGTTAAAAAAAAATTGAGTTAAATGTAACAAAAAAAGTCAAGAGAGAAATGAATAGAGGAGAAATGCAATGGGAATAGTGAGTGAGGTATTTGGATATATTTTCAGTTTTTAGGAATGTTATGTAAAGCTTATGCACGTTGACATGTCAGTCGTTGCCTTCAGTGTTGCTTAAAATACTGAACTGACTGACCTCAAAGCAAACTGCCTTGCCAACTACTTTTATATATATCTAAGGATGGCAGAGCTGAGACAGCAGTAAGCAAATCACATGCTTTCAAAACAACAAACCAACAAAGAAGTCTTCTGGGTGTACTCTTTGTTGCATGGATGATGATTCAGTGCGAAGGCAATTTAGGAACATTTGTGCTGTACTAGAACAGTAAATATGACGAAAGACACTGTTAAACACTGAGGCCAGGAGACAAACTGAGAGGTTTTTATGCCAGGCTCAGCTCAGAGAAATATATTGCAACATAAGGTGATTTTTGCAACGTAGCATCGTTTTTTAGTAGTCATCCTGCAGCGACATGTATATCTAGTGGTTCTCACCGTTGCACTGTAGCCAGGTTCTCCAGTTCGTCCTGGTTCATGTTGTGGTCGGGGTCTCGCACCACCGGTTCATTGATGCTCTCCAGCAGCCTGCGACCCTGACCCAGAGCCACCAGCAGATCCCCCTGCAGACACACACAGACAGATTCGGAGATGTTATCCAAATACATAACTCTCATGCATGCCGAATATATTGTTTACCCGTGAATAATGTATGTGTGTATTAACAGTGTTACCTTCATTTTGTCTTTCTTGTTGGTGTGTGTGCTCAGCAGGACGGTTGTGGCCTGGATTTCATTGGGGAGTTCAGTTTCAGCCAGCTCGGTCCCAAACGACTGCAGGATCTGAGCTGTTTTCTTTACCATCAACGCAAAGCCTTCTATAGCCTGATGCAAGCAAGACACAAACAGCATTATCAGCATGCAACTCTCTTTTTGGAAATCAAGAAAATGTCATTTGTACAGTGAGTTCAGTTTTTAGATTCAGATGAGGCTTATAAATAATACTTTTAGTTTGAATGCCGTTGCACTTCTTCTTGATTTATTTTCACATTTTAAATAGAGGGTTACATAGTAAAATAACCATGTTTTGAGGATGTAACCTTTGTCTATATACTAATAAAGACTGTTGACATAAATGCAAAAAACACAGCCAGTCAAATGTAGCTAGAGCATCTCAAATTAAACAATTTTGTTATTAACTTTACCATGTTTTTATCATTTATCCCTCTCATTGTATTGTGCTACAACACAGTGATGTTGACCAGTGTACATACAGTGCGGTGAGATATCCACTTCTCATGGCAGTAGTGCTGCGTTCCTCCGAGCTCCAGGGTCAACTGAGAGCGGTCGATGTAGGTGTGCAGATCAGTGATGGAGCTCAGCATGATCACCTGAACCAGAAGATTATTACATACATCAATTGGTCAATCCTAATGAGTTTTTAATGTGAATTAAAAAAGGACTTGGTTAAGCTCCACTTTATAATAATCATATGACCGGCAATGGACACTATTCACTTCTTATGAGTCTCATTTCTATATTACAGAGGGATATAACAAGTCACTGATGCAGTTTTCTGGAGGTGAGAGTGAGTGTACGCACCGGCACCTTCATCTTGAACTCATCCTTGTTGAACTTGAAGAGGATGTCTGAGAGTGTTCGCTGCAGGAGGGCGGTGGGCCTCAGAACCAGAACCAGCTGGAGGTTCCCTGGGAAGGAGCCCTGCGACGAGAGAGAGGACAAAGACTCAGACTTTCATTTACACAGCAGAGAGCATCCTGAACCCCGAGTCCATTATACATCACTTTTCACCAGGAGAGTCTCTGTTCTTTCTGCTGACAGCCTGCACTTCCTTTATATTACTCCCTGCCTTTGTATCCCCTGTGAAAACCCTCACTCAAACACATTAAAGCACGTGTGTGGAGTGTGTTGAGAACAAGAGAAGGGGAAAGACGTGGGGGATGTCGGACACCCTCCTGTGGCAGGGACATTAATCTTCATGTCCCTGAGACGCTTCGGCATGAATAATGAGGCAGACACCAACTCCTACATGTGTTCAGCCTCATGTATTCAGGGTTTTCTGTTATCGTTGAGATACAGTGAACACATTTCTAAGGTTGTACTTCTATTTTGGGTACAAAATAGAAGTACAACCTGGTGTTTCTTTTTAGTGGCTGTTTCTTTAAGCCCCCTGAAAAAGGCCCATTGTTTCGTTGATTTAAGAGTGACTTCCAAGTAAAACATGGAGCACTTTCACAAAGGTAGTTCTCAAGCCGTGGGTGAAAATACTGAGATAGAGAACATTATTTTCCAATTATGCATTTGACAAAAAGGGAGCCAAATCTGAATTGCTTGACCCATGTTTTCTGACTTAAGCTGCCTACAAAAAATTGATTGAGTTTTTTTAATTTCACTGTTTGTGGTTGAGTAGTTTTTCCAAATATATGCCCTTGACTTTGGAACAAGTAGAGATTTCTTTGCTAACAAACATACTCAGCATAAAGCAAAGATATCCTACCTAAGCAGAAAAAAGGTTTATTAGATGCTGTCGGGACATCTTTTTCATATTCATCACATTGTGTAGCTACCACCCATTCTGCTCAGCCATAGGACTCAATAAAAAGCTAATTAAAATGTCATGGTTGACACCGACTGCCGACATTAGTACTGCTGTGGAAGCAGTCGGATGATGGTTGAGTCTGGACACTGATCTCCCCGCCTGAGGCTATGCGATTGTTAATGCTACTTTAATTAGCTAATGACCTAAACGGCTGCTTCGCCTGATTGGCTGCCCTTCCCATGTGAGTTGGGGAATGCTGGCCTAAGCAAAAATGACAATGAATACATCATTTATAAAAACCACAAGGGATAGGCACTGCTAATGGAATAAATAAATCAATGCTGTGTTTGTCCTGGTTGACCTGCCAAAACCAGGAGGAGCACTGGGAAACAAAGTCATTCAACCATCTGGAGGAATGGAAATTATTGTGCGGATACGACGGTTATACCATAAAACAAAGAGCTATAATATATTGAAGGTTAATGGGGTTAAATACGTTGTGCAGCTCGGAAACTGGCTACCTTCCTAATAAGTCTGGCAAGGGTTTATATTTGACTTATAGTCAACAAATCCCACTAAAAGATCCAAATGTAAAACTGTGCAGCCATAGCCAAAACCATTCAAAATGTTATTCCTCAGTGGCATATAGGTCTGTCCAATTAACTATTAAAAAATATATTCATGAGCAACATTTTCTAACTGGGTCATTTGAGCCTTAATCACATTGGACATGTTCACTAGTTTATTTTTGAGTCCATCTCACAAACATCCAGTACCATTCTGTGAATCCTCAGCAACCACCAGAGTATTTGTGGTGGGAAGAAAGTCGCGGTTTAATACCCTATTTGTATAAAAAACTACTGTTGATAGTAAAATATTTAGTTATTTGGTAAGTATGAATGGTTTTAGGCAACACACTGGGTAAAATAAGCCGAAGGTATTGAGAGATGCTCAAAATAAACGTTTTTTTTTTATCTTGTTATGGCGTTTTTCAACAACAGAAACACTATATTAATTCTCCAGTCTTGACCTTTGAATGTATGTGGCAGCTCCTAACTATTCAACCGTGCTGCCTGGATGTGTGTTTGCCGACAGTCATGGTCATGGTCTACTTGTCCTTTGTTCTTTACACGTCCACACACACACACACACACACACACACACACACACACACACACACACACACACACACACACACACACACACACACACACACACACACACACACACACACACACACACACACACACACACACACACACACACACACCACACAGCACACACACACACACACACACACACACACACACACACACACACACACACACACACACACACACACACACCACACACACACAACACACACACACACACACACACACAACACACACACACACACACACATCACACACACACACACACACATCACACACACACACACACACACACACACACACACACACACACACACACACACAACACACACACACACACACCACACACACACACACACACACACAACACACACACAACACACACACACACACACACACACACACACACACACACACACACACAACACACACACACACACACACACACACACACACACACACACACACACACACACACAACAATAAATTACATGGTATATTTGGTTTGCTTTAGGATTGACAGTAACTCAGCAGACTTAATTAGGCTCGGTCTGCAGACACACTTCCTGTCTGTCATCAGATCAAACTCAGCCATGCACAGCAGCAGACAGCTTTTCCTTGAAACACACTGACCCACATTCACACTAGCAGATGTATACACAAGTGTGCTCATATACAGACACACAGGAAGACAAAGGGGAATCCATTGACAGCGTAAACATCCAATATACTCGCTTATCCTGTCTCTCTCACACAGAGCAAACACAACATGTAAACACAGACTGAATAACCTGGCAGAGTGAACACATCAGAGTGTCAGCTGAATACAATATGAACTAGTCTCCGCTAGACAATAAAGCCTTGAATCTATGGGGCTGCAACTAACTCTTACGTTTGGTCTATAAATAGTCAGAAAACAGAAGTAAATGTCTGCCTCAGTTCCTCCTTTCCAAGGTTATGTATTTAAATGTATAGTTCTGTCAGTTTATTACCCAGAAATACAGTTTAGTATGAAATTATTTATACCACGAAAAGCAGGACATTTTTGGTCTAAAATAAAATTTGTGTGACATTTTAGCGTGAACAAATAACTGGCAATTGTTTTTCTGGTCGTCAATTCTTTGAAGCTCTACTCGACTACAAATATACGCTGCTATAGATACAGAAGTGCCAGTTTTCATTATAATCCATTTAGCAGCACGGTTGAATCACCTCAACAGGACATTATTGCAGAGATCAGTGAACGCTGCCTATTAGCAGCTTGTCAGCCAATAAAACTCCCCCTTGTGGGATTAATAAAGCTTGATTTAATTTGAAATGAGCGATGTGGTCTCCCATGTGGTCTCAGGAGACATGGGAGCTGATATTCATCTCTCATTCTCTCTCTCAGACATTTCATTTTCTCGTATATCCCTCTCTGTGTTGACTTATTGCTGTGCTGCCTTCAGTGTTAATGATAGATCTGCCCAAAACAAACGCTCCCCTGTTTCCTGTATATCAACAACAATAAACATTTATGTACTGCACTGACAGGAAATAAAGGTTAATGTTGATATAAGTGAAGGTGGTAAAGCTGTTAAAAACTTGTGTCGACATTGTTTGAGCCCCAAAAAGCAATATAGTGCGATGAGTGTAATTCTCCCCCACACGTTTTAAGGAGCGCTGCCAGTGCTTCATCACCTCTACACACAACACATGAAACACAGATGAACAGATAAGCATTTCAGCTCCCAGAGGAGAACACTGGGACATGAGAAACGAGCGGGGGGGATGCTCCACTGCTGCATTGTATCCAGCCACAATAAAATGACATGAGTAGTATCAGTTATGTGTCTCAAAACAAGGTGTGATGAAGCAATGAGAGAGGTGATAGGAAAACAAATGATGTGCAAATGAGAGTTTATACAACAGCTTCTCTGCCTGCAGGAGCACGCAACTGATTAAGATATGTAGAACATCTCCTGAAACACAGCAGGGAAGTCTATAACCAGGCTGAATATGAGGCATCCATAACATCAGTATCTACTCTATTGCACTAATATACATGTATGTCATTAGTTTATAGTATGTTGCCATGTTGGAGGAGCCTTGGACTTAAGATGTTTAGTGCCATCTTGTGAATGAACGAACAACAGAAACATTTTCTCCTTCTGTTTCCTTTTTTTTGGCATGTGACTGTTTATTTGTCACTGTAACTATGGAAACACATGGCAGGCTGTGATGGTGGTGGGATGGAGTTCAAGGACGAGGTTGGCTCATATCAACCCCCCAGGGCGGGGGTGATATTAGGGTTGGAGCTGTGAGAGGGAGAGAGATGGAGACGCTCCAAACACCTTCCTCTGGGCGGACAGACCCCCCCTCCCCTCTCTGTGGGTGAGGGTGAAGGACCTGCACTCTAAAGAAATGGTTCCTCTCATTTAGATTAAAAAGGGCTGTTTCTCTTCCAACACAGACACAAAGAGACTACAGGTGAATAGGCTAAGGATTTGAACTAGAAATCACCATGAAACTTACCTGGCTGATCACATATTTTAAGATGATATGTCTTCGAATGGCAAAATAATGTAGTTTAAATGTGCAAATGAGGCATTATCTTAAGAAGTCCTTAAAATAAATCTTCAGAATATAGATAGGAATAAAAAATGAAAAGTTTGAATAATGTTTGTGCTACTCAAGAGGAGATATTTGGCTCAGAGAAGGAACATTTCTATTTAGTTTGAAGACATGTATAGTTAAATACACTTCCCAAAATATTATCTTTATTGACGTAAATAATACATATTTGAACTTTTGTGAAATGTTATGTTTTAATTTTTAAATAAGTCATTATCTAATGCCAACTTTTTGGTGAATTTGGAGATCTTTAAAAACAATCATGAACAAAGTAAAGTATAAACAGAAAAACCAAAAAATTATTATTTTGATGTTTCCATTCCATTATTCTGAAGGACGACATGCCGTGGAAGCAAAATAGTTTAAACCCTCAAATTTGACCTATAGTGTTTCGGACAGACAGGAAGTAGGTGCTCCTCCACATGTACACACACACACAAAGAGAGACTTACTGCGATTCGAAGCAGGGTCCCCTTCACGGCTGCCCATCGGTCTTGCCGGCGATCAATAACCAGAATGAAACCCACTCCCGTCGAAGACAAACTAAAACACACAAAGAGGGAAAATGTTCAACTCAAACCAAACAGTGGACTAATTATACACACTAACTTGTGAGCAGATCTTTATATAACAGCACGATGAATGGTGAGAGAAACCAACTTTTAACTCACACTTACAAAGAATAAGTAAATCCACACACTGCCACAGAGACAGTCTGTGCAGCAGAGACTTTTAAAGGACTGAAAAGTAGTTAGTCTTCAGAAAATGCAAGAGTTTGAAGAGGAGAGATAACAAAACGTAGTTTTCCTTTGCCGTGTGCACAGTGAGACAGTGGAGAACTGAAGTGCTCGTTCACAGCTTCTTGTTTTGTTCTGCTGCTCTTTATCTTCTTAGACAGCTGGTGCAGTCTATAAAAGGAGATGCGCTGAAGTACCTCCAGATTTCTTGGCCATCAGCCCCCAGTTCTCCCCCTGCACCCCCCCTTTGTTCCCCGGAGAGATGAGGGCTGAGCTTTACACAGCACCAACAATCAATGACAACCGCATGTGCATCACACCGGCAGACCCCCCTGTTAAAAACATGCTGCACCTACAGCACAGGTGCATCACTGACATATAATAATCCAGCAGTCCTCAAGTATCTGTTTTCAGGTCCATCATTCTGCACACACAGATAAAGAAATGCAGTCCTTGAGATAATGGAGCCAGAATAAAAACACAGATCCAAGGATGTGTCTCAGAGGTAGATCCAGTGCTGTTTGAATAAGAGGGAGCCAAATGCTTCGAACCACCACAGCATCCACACTTGCCCCCCCCCCCCACCCCACACACTGCATCTATCAGCCGTCCAATCATACACCAGGAGCTGCTCAAGCACAAGCCTATTGCAGAGTGATGAGCGGATCTGGAAGCCAGTCAGCAGATCTTAACATATGTGGGGGAGGGGACAGGCTCGAAGTGAGGCCACTGTACGCTTTACCTAAGAACATACAGACTGTTTATCCATGGCTCCTTTTTCACTCTCCTTTACAGTAACGTAGGTTGCGGCATTTCTTATCCTTTTTTCTGCACTTGGAGCTTTTCCTTCTCGCTCAGTCATCCACACAGACACTCTCAGCCACTCAGAGACCAAACTGCTTTACATCTCAGACGCAGAGGAGGAAGAGGAGGAGGAGGAGGAGGAGGACAGAGGGCGAGTGGGACAAGAGCTTTTACTGCCTTTAACACATTTACACATTGCTGAGATGAGAGGATGGTTTATGGTGAGAGCACGGTGAAATGAGTCTCTGCTATAATCCTATCATGTCTGGCAGATTACTTTCTATTGCTTGTGTCCTATTTGATTTTTTGTTTAAGTTTCCATTCCACAATAATAAAATAATATAAAAAATATGAATCTGTTCTTGTTCTTAAAGGTGGGGTAGGTCATTTTGGAGAAACCGGCTCGAGTGCGCTAGAATTTGAAAATACACAACCGGAGAAAATCTGCCACTTCCTTATAGAGCCCCTCCTCCAACACACACGAACGCGCACATGACCAATGAGGGCACGAGATAAGTTTGTGCACAGATGGAAGGCTGACAGGCAGGTAGGCCATCCAGTTATTTTAGCCGGGCCGGCTAAAATGATTGGTCGTGCTTTTTACAGTACTACGGCTTCCACAGATGACATTTTTTTTATGTATTTTTTGTCAAAGCACTTAAGATATTCATTGCTATCGGGATGTTAAGAGCATTCCATGGAATATAACAAAAAGTGTATCTCGAGCCGGTTTCTCAAACTTACCTACCCCACCTTTAATTTCGTTGGGACTAAGAGTTTTTTTTCTTTTGTTATCCTTTTTATTTATTGATTTAGTTTGTTAACAGAGGCACCTTTCTCAAAATACAAGCTCATGTTTTCTACATAAAGTGTAGGTTCAAGACAAAAAAGAAACAAAAATTATTATTATTAATCGTTTTTCTCCAAACATTGATTAATCCTTTGGTCTTATAAAAAATAAAATAGTTAAAAATCACCATCCTAGACAAAGTCGAAGTTGTTGTCGTATAATATCATGTTTTTATCTGTTTAACATGTGTTTAGTTTATATGCACAACAATGAGTATATTGAGTATAGTTAACTTATTGTACTGTAAACAGACACTGTTTCACATATAAATGATTAAATTCAAATATTCATAGAAACCGTCTGGTGGTGTTTCTGCTGCACATGCATGAGTGTCCTAATAATAATTGGATTCCTCCGGACAAAGTGTTAAGCTGTGAGTTTTGAGAAAGGTTAGTGGCGATGCAGCGATGAGGGAAATGTGCTGCATGGATGCATGTGCAGAGGTAGCAACTCACATGTTCCTGCACTCTGACTGATCAATACAAGAGCAATGGTATGTCAAATCAAAGACAGATTAAATAAATAAGCCACGAGTGCAGAATGCGTTTCAAATCTGGGATAATATATTAGTGTCCACTGTATATTTTCAACATAAAACCATCTGGCATTATTATATTCATGAGTGCAATCATATGCAAAACGAAGGGGGGATAACGAGAGAAGGGAGGGCTGGGGACATGGTCGGAGGATTTAGTTATTACTACATTTCTTTGGTTTCTTTATTCTGTATATGCACATATAAATAAATTAGGATTCTGGAAGTAATTAAATACTTAACACAACTTGGCTTTAAAAATCTAAATGTTTGTAAGTTAATAAACAAGATGAAAACAAGCCCGATCGTCAATTTCAAATGATTTAATGTAATTGTTTGCCTGACTGGCCATCTTAATCGGGCTCTTTGAAGATCCAAAAATCCACGGTTTTCTTAAACTTTTGATCGGATTGGCAAAAACTTCAGAATTTGTATTGACCGCCATTCAAATGACAGTGTTGTTTTCCACCAAAAGTGGGCGGGGCCGTACATTTCGCCCGGAAGTGACGTAGGTGTTACTCTCATCTATACAAGAAGGTCATGATGAAACTATGTCTGCCGTTAATATTGATCTGAAGGTATTTGTTTCACACACGCAGCAGCTGTTCCCTGCTGTGTGTCCTGTCGGGGAGTCGCTCCCTCAGGTAGCTGCAGCCATCTGCCGCTGAACTCAGATCAGCTCGAGGCTCAACGCAGTCTCACTCCTGTGGACGACCTGCCGTCACATGACTGGAAACCTCAAGGCTCAGATCACGAAGAAGGTCAAGTTATGATAAATGCAAATTGTATCTGTCTACGAGCCTGTTACCTGTTTTTTAGCTTGGATTTGAAACAAAAACTTGAAATGATGTTCCAGATGTTGAAACATAATACTGTTTGCTTAACATTTTTTAATCCTGACTAAAAACGTGTTAAAGTAAGTGACACAAAACAGGCTGAATTGATATTGATGTTTTAAAGGCCTAGAAAAGAAGCACATGTCTGCCTTCATATATAGACATATTAGTTTGAACAGGTTTCATGTGAATTATCACACACACCCAAAAGAGCACACACACACTCCGTGACTCAGCTCTGCTCAGCTGTCTGTATGTATTATTCAGATTCAAAACGTCAGCATCGCTGCAGTCTCTATTTTTAAGCACTTTGCCATTCTGGGACTGACGAAAGAAGGGTGGGACAGCCAGAGGGAGAGCTAAAACATGACAACACAGGACTCAATAGTTAGGTACAATTATGAAATTGAAGAGGAAAATGGGACGGGGGATGGTTTTCTTGAGGAATAGTTGTAAGAAAGGGAGGGTTTTGTACATTGCCCCTCCCCCCATGTCTCGTCTGGTCTACCATGTGTACAAAGACTGTCTGCAGAGGACTGATAAAGACCCTGGATGATTAATTGGCCATCTTATTAATACAAGGAATCACTCTCCCCCTAAATACATATATGCAATACACTGACTGTCTCATCCACTGCACAAATCCTCTGCAGCATACAGTAAACCTTTTAGCAGTTAAACTGTGATGAGGCCCCCGCTGCCACCTACTGGCAGACATCATAAACAAAAGAATCTTCAGGAACAACCTTTATATATACAGTCTATGGGAACAACACCGTTATCTATATTGCCTCTCTCCAAGTAATTTCTATCTATTCCCCCATCCATCTATTTTCAGTTCGCACCCAAAAACATCACTTCTACCTTTATTAATCGATGTCTTAGTACAGGGGTGTCAAACTCAATTTCATCGCGGGCCACATTCGCATAAAGGTTGCACTCAAAGGGCCGGTTGTAACTATATAAATATATAATATATATATAAAATAATGTATTATATTACATTATTGCCTCTGAATTGGATTATTATCGGATAGGATAATAACTTAGTAATTAACTACGTCAGAAAGCAGAAGTCCAGGGCAAATAATTGCAAGTCTCTTCAGTGCACATGTCACAAAACGAGATGCATTGTGGGACATGTAGTTTATGGGCAACCTGCTTCTGTAAAGTGGCATGTAACCATATAATAAACGTATTATATTCTTTGCAAGCTCTTGCGGGGCCACATAAAACGAAGTCGCGGGCCGGATTTGGCCCCCGGGCCTTGAGTTTGAGACCCCTGTATTTAATAATGGCTGTTGCTCGCAGTTTAACTATAAACCCAAGCAATTTCATCAGCATCAACTGGGCAGGTTGTGGCAGGTGAATTTGGTAGTTAAAACAAAAAAAGTATAAGGAAATGTATCAATAGAAATCAGCGATGATACAAGAGGTAAGAAAAAAAGACAGGCTTGTGGTTAATGCACATTCAACATCTCAGATCTGTGTGTGTGACATTCAGCCAGTGTCAGACTTTACCTGGGCACGCTGGTCAGGTAGGTCAGCACGTTGTGAAACTCTCCGTCCGTGATCTCTCCAAACGCAGGGAATTCTGGGAATACAATGATGGGGCTGCCGGTATCCCCTCTTCCTCCTAGAAAACAACAGAAACATTGATACCTTTTGCGTGAATATACAAAATTACATAACAATGTTTTGAGTCCTTGGGGATGTTGCATTTCAGTACAGTGCTCAAAAGATATGACGGTATAATAACTGAGGCAACAATAAAACCATTTGAGCTGATAATAACTTTCATGCTGTCAGTCGCCGTGTCAGGGGCTCTGTTAATCAAACCGCCAAGGAGAGGTCTCTTGGAAGGACACTGTGGCCACATGGGGGCGCTGATGCTTAAGTCTGGAAACTGAACAGAAAGGAAACTGCAATGTCTATCATCTAAAAAGGATTTCATCTTAAACGCTTCTATATTAAAGCAAACATAAGAAGCCTGTAGTTTGAGATACAATTATTTTCTTCCAATACAGATGCATTTCTTATTTTGAAATATTGACATGTTCAATCTCACGTTTGACATACACACACAAACACACTCCCTGTGTGAAACAGTTGCTCTGTCAGCGCATGTGTCTGGAATATAAACAGCCTTTACTTGTCTCATCGCTATAGCAACAGCAAGTGCATGGTCATGGTTTCAGCGTCTGCTTGGATGTTTGTCTGCAAAATGGTTCCCTGAGTCTGCTGCAGCCACAAGGTCACCTCAGACACACAGCGCTTTAATAATACTGTAGGACTGGATCATAACTGCGACAAATGTCTGGCTGTGAAACATGCCTCAAATATCTGGGAATAAAACACAAATGTATTTTATCGTAAGCTTGATAGATACAAAGGCAGTGAGAGAAATATGGATTAAGAAACAGCAGCAAGAAGACAGACTAACAGCGAAGAGGAAAAGGAAGAAGGTTACATTTGAATAGCAAAGCATAACTGCCAGGAGCAAACTGTTCACATTAACTATGCAAATATCAAGCGGAGAGGTTACATATAAATGATTCCTCAGGTGGCAGAGATGACGGATGATAAGTGGTGTGTGCTAATTAAGAAATAAAATGACAGACAGGAGCTGAGATGGGAAACACAAATCCCCAAACACACATACAGACATGTCAGACAGAAATATAGAGAAGATATGAATAAGTTTCACCTGAAAGGATGGCAAACTGCTTCTTGAGGTCGGGGGTGATGTCCGCAGCTCGGATGGGACTGCTGTCCAGCTGCATGATCTCATCTGGAGGAAACAGAGAAAGGATAATATTAGGGACATCAGAGCTGAATATGTACAGTATGGAAAGGGTAGATGCGGCTTACTATTATTTCCATTATCGATGAATCTGCCAGATGTTTTATAGCTTATGGGTTTGGTTGATATGTCTGAAAATAGTGAAAACAGTCCATCCCTTAAAGTCCAGGGTGATGTCTTTATATAAATGACGTTGTTTTGTCAGTCCCAAACCTATATATTCAGTTAATTATGAAATAAAACAGAGAAAAGCAGGAAATCTAGATCATTTTTTCATGTAAAATTACTTTGGAAATAATTGTACTTAAATGTATTAGTAGGTTTATTATTTATTGCTTTTTTTTGTGATCACATTTTTTAAATTTATTAAACAAATGGTACAATCAATAACATAAAATGCAATACATTACAATACAGCACAAAACTAAAGAAAGAAACAAAACCCAGTGACGTGACGTGACCAAAACTACAGGCCATATCAAAAAACTGCTTTGCCATTCATTCTGTAGAAAGACAGCATTCAAACTAAATACAAAGGGGAGTTGTGATTACTGGGGACTTGCATACAGTATTGATACATTAACAGTCTTTGTGGTCCCCCCACTCCACCTTCAGCAGCTCTCCATCCCCCCTAAGTCTCCCCTTCATGAGGATTAAAATAATCAGATTTAAGGTTCACTGCCCCAGTAGGAGATGGAGATGGCATTAGAAGTCGAGCTAACAGACTGTATACCTCTATAAATCATATAAATAGCATTAAACGATGAACATTGAACACAGAAGTATCTTTCCAGTGTGCTTTAAATGGTAATACAGAGCACAAAGAGAGATATTTAGTCAGACAAAATGAATGTGGAAAAGTAGGTTACACTGAAAACAGCTGTCTCTGCCAGCTGCTGAGCCTCATGAATATGCAGAAAACATAAACAGCCTTCCTACAATATGTAGCATATGCACTGATGTAAATATGAGGAACTGTTCAGCTTTGTTTCCTGAATGAAATTGGGCAACATTTCAACTTGAAATTAGATCTGTGGAGTGAGGGGCAAAACAGATCAATACAGAAACATTGGCACGAGTACAGTTACTACTACTACTACTGCTTCGCTATGTGTCTCTGTGTAACATCTCTGGCATATATACAGTGTACTCAAGCTTAAAACATCAAATAAAACACATCAAAACACACGTCTTTCACTGGATTCACACTGCCTAACCCAAAATATATTAACAAAACACGTTTCACAAGGCTCTTTAAATCCCTAAAGACAACATTATCTGCTTCATGTCTCTTTGAACTGAACCGCGAGAGGCCTGAGGGAAATGAAAGATATCCGGCTCATTGGGGTCAGATACTGTCGTGAGAAGCTGCTGGAAGGTGAAGTAGTTTTCAGTATCAATCCTTGGGGCATTTTGGTGTGCAAACATTTGTGTGAAGATGGCTTCTATCAAGGCAACCTGAAAAACAATTCCTCAGTTACTGGCCACATCTGCCCAGCGGATGTTTAAACGTGCTACGAATGACATATCCAGCCAAAAGTAGCCCTGTAATTAAAGCTAAAAGAACACATATAGTTTAGAGCCATAAAAACATGAAGCGTGGCCTCTTCAGCTTTTCATTACTTTTCCATCTTCTGAATAAAAGCACTTCCACTCCACCAAAATGCCCAGGGCTGGAGAGCTTTCGCATCTGCATAATTGAATTCAATGTACTTCAGTTTGAAAGGGCTGAATGCATAAAATACAGGTGGAAATGATGGAGGAACAACAACCATGCAGGGTCATCCAGGGACCAGAAAAGCCAGCGGATTACAGGAAGGGAGTTTCTCGCAGTGACTGTAAACGGGCTGCAATGGTACAGCTAAGACAGGTAAGGCAAAGTAGTAGAGGACAATATTGACTTTTCATCCCACCCTTACTTTATTTGCTCCGTTTTCCTTACACACATTATACAGATAAACAACAATACATTCCCACGCTGTGTAGAGTTGTTCTGTGTGGATTAAAGGTCTTTCTAGTTTTATTTGTAGCGCTCATAACCATTAGTGTTCAAAACGTTTTATGTTTGTAATGTAACTTTAGAGCAAGTGCTCTTTAATTTATAATACCATTACTAAAAAGCCCTTTTACAAAGATGTTTCTGTCCTTATAACTAAATATGAAATCATTGGACTTTTTCTCTTGGCTACAGAACTTTAGTGTACGGTTTATTCATAATGTAAAGATAACAAGTCTCGAGGAAATCACGAACTACACTGTCAGGCACCTAGATTAATGATAATCATAAACAAATATCATTTCTAAAATAAATAATAATTATAATAATAGAAATAAATGATATAATTAAAATAAATAAAATGCAATATTTAAAGAATATATAGTTCTAAAAATGCAGCTTTGTCATAAGTCAGATATCAGCAGACTGAACCCACACTGGAGCGCTAGTGGGTAAACATTATGAATAGAGATGTCCCGATCCGATCACGTGATCGGGGATCGGAGCCGATCACGTGATTTTCAAAAGATCGGAATCGGGAGAAAAAAATCGGGGATCGGGAATTCTTTTTTTTTTTTTTTTATAATTTTTTTTTTTTAATTTAATGTTACAAAACAAAAATGACCATGTTCACGTCTTAAAGTCATCATGAGGCCTTAGTTTTGGTTTAAAATGACACAACATCATGTATGTGTTGCTTCTTTTGGGCTTGTTTTCATAGACCTGGTTGCTTATTTCTCTCAAATCTGGCAACAGAGTGGGCGCAGTGTCTAATAGTAGCAGTAAGCTAACGAGAGGCTACGTTCAGCTGGTGTAACGAGAGGCTACGTTCAGCTGGTGTAACGAGAGGCTACGTTCAGCTGGTGTAACAAGAGGCTACGTTCAGCTGGTGTAACGAGAGGCTACGTTCAGCTGGTGACTCGGGAGTCGGGACAGAGAAAATGTCAGGAGTTTGGAAGTATTATAAAATTGAAAGCGAAGGCAGTGTAACAGCCAGATGCAATGTTTGCAAGGCGGAGGTTCCGCGTGGTGGAAAGAACAGAGCTACGTTCAACACGACCAATCTAATACGCCACCTGAGAAACAAACACCAACAACAACACGACGAGTACACAGCGGCCACTCAGGTAACGGCACTGAAACAACCGACACTTTCAGAGACTTTTAAAAGGAAAGAGAAACTGCTCCAGAACAGTGAAAAGGCCAAAAGAATAACAGCCAAGATAGCTGAATTCATCGCGTTGGATGACCAGCCGTTATCTGTGGTGGAGAACGTGGGGTTTAAGGGACGACTTGAATGCTTTTCTCCTTTTTTTTCTCTTAATGCATTGCATAAAGATCGGATCGGGAAAAATCGGTATCGGCAGATTGTCAAAATCAAATGATCGGAATCGGATCGGGAGCAAAAAAAGGTGATCGGGACATCCCTAATTATGAATGAGCTCATTGACCGAGGCCACTATTTTCTGAAACAATAATACTGATTATGACGGAGCTAGTAGCGATAATACATAAACGTACATTTAGCTACCACTACGCTATGGAGCAAGTTTCGTCGTAAGCAACGTTGCTTTTTCCACACCAAAAGAAGGCCGTATATAGTGGGGTACACAATGCTTTAAGGTAGGGCTGCACAGTTAATCAAAGTTTAATCCAAATCTCAATATACTGTAGGCAACTGCAGTATCCAAATTGCAGGAGGCGCAGTATTTGGTTGAAGCAAAATATGGTAAAATATCTGAATGAAGTATTGCGGTCTTTCAGATAGGTCTCGCCTTCGAGTCAATACAAATCTTGTTGGTACAGTAGAGATCCTTTTAAAAAACGTAATCCCACTATTATCATTATATGTCAATTTTGTATTATAACAATGATGTAATAATGCTCATTCCCATTAATATCGTGAATCATATCGCGATTGCAGATCAGTAAAAAGCAATTGCAATTCTTTTTTTTTTTCAAAATCGTGTGCCACTACTTCAAAGCTAACTTCACAGTTACCAAACACATGCTGAATGCTTACTAGCTTCCACACAGCTTGCGACACTGTCTGAATATATCATTGTCATCTGATTGGCTGTTATATTTCATGTCATTATACTCTTTAAAAGCAACAATTAAGATAAGAAGAATTCAGGAAATACTACTTTCTCATCCTTCATACGGCTTCTTAGCATAAAGTAACTCGTCCCAGCTTTACATTTGATAAATACACAGTACAACTCTACCTGTTTGACAGAACACCTGCCCTGTGACACCAGGCAAATTCGTCCCCACTTAATCCTCTCTCATATTAACTGGAGCTCAATCCATCTTGTAGTTTAACATAATATCCATTACCGTTATGACTGTTGTTGTCGTCTTTATACTTTATGTTATTATGACTGACTGCTTCTTCACAGGCACAGCCCTTTTACTCGAAACCCTCCTCTGACTCCAGTTTAAACAAACCAACGAGTCTCGCTGTTAACTCTTTGTTTGACAACGAGCCCTATCAGGTGACTTGCCTCAGGGTGTTAGTACACTGACATTCATTGCTTGCTTTCTATCTATCCCTCTCTCTCTCTCTCTCTCTCTCTCTCTCTCTTTTACACACGAAACCACAACACACACAAACACAAACAGTTTAAGGACAGGATTCATTCATGTGTGTCTTTCTTGCTATGGCCATTTCCAATCTCCTACTTCCTTTAAACCTGAGACCAGCTGGTGCCATGTCTGTTGTGTCAAAACAGCATCAATCAAAGGTTTTAGCTGCTCAGGGGACTTAAAGGACCACTCCAGTGTCTTAGCCAGTGTAAGCCCATTTACTACAACTTTCTGACACATTTCATTGCTGTGACACATTTCAAAGAGCATGCCATATAATGTTAGATTGATTTCCAAACTACCATTAAACTTCAAGATTGTTGCACAATACTCACATTAAGTAACATTACATTGAATGTACAATGAGTAGGTTTTGATTTGTAAACACAACATTGAATTGGCT